TGAGGGCAGGGGTGAAGAGGGGTTAGGGCAGGGGCGATGATGGCATTGGAAAGGCCACTAACGCCATGCCCACTCAATATGCATAACACACAAATGGAGACCAACATAGCATAACTAGGCCAGCATCCTTTTGCACCGAAAAGCCCTAAACCCAACCAAGAAGATGGTTGGAAAGTGGCCCGTAACCCTCTACTTAGAAATCAAAATTTGTCCCCAACCTCCATCAAGCTTGAAGGAAACCAACATCCTGGTCCCCAAGGAACTTGGCGAAGGTGGCAATGAAACAGATGGCAAGGCGGACAAAAGCTATCGGTATAGACTCAACAATAGCCCTTCCCATCCAAGGTGTTGTTCGAAAAAGGCTGCCAACTTTTAGCAAACAACAACCGTAGTGTCATAGGACAAAACACTCCAAGAATGGCAAAAACACTTTGAGGTACTGCAAGACCTCAAAACCAGTAGCTCCAAAGCTGCATTCTCCTCAAAGGTTCTCACCAAAAGTCCAAAGTAGTGAGCAATGACTTGTACGAAAACAACAAACAAGTTCCTTCGCATCTTCAAAGAGACTCACCCCCAAAAGTCTTCCCGTCTTGTTCAATTTAATTAGTTGCATGTTTCTAGCAAAATTCATACATCACTCAAACACACGCTTCAAGCAGCCCTAGCCTCAAACCAAAAGTTCAAACCCAAACCCAGAATAAGAGCAACACTGGAACTGAAGAACATGTACAACAATCCAATCAGGGAAATCATCTTTTAAAAAAAGTGAAAGGCTCCTAAACAATACCCCAAAACACCAAAAGCTTGAAGGAGGCGAAGCATGATCCTCGGTAAAAACGAATCTCAGACCAACTTTGGATTCTCAATCAGCATCTCTAGTCGCTCCTAATCCCTCAAGCTTGGCCTTCAATTTGGACGAAATCGTAGTGAATCCACTGTGTAAGGTTTCCAATTGAATAGTAAGCTCATGGATTTTAATCTTCAATTTTGCAAATTTCAGCCACAAATCAACACGGAAGAGCTTGAATTGATGATCCCTTGTTATAAACGATTCCAAAGAACCCAATAACAGCAAGAATGATCAACAAATTTAATGGAAAGAGGCCAAAGGGACACAATCGGTCAAGAATGAAAGATGATGCGCATGGGATTTTTTTTTTTGTCGAAAATCATAGAAAGTCTCCAGAAAGTGTGCGAGTGCGCGATTTGTTTTAAAGAAAATAATTTTAGTCCTATTTCGGGCATAAGAACATAGCACTCCTATTTTGGGGATATAGGCTATGTTTTACTCCTATTAGCGGTGATTTCTTATTTTTAATATGTAATTTTTATTTTTTTAAATAAAACGATTTTAAAAGATGATAAATTTTTACCTCATAACTACACTTTTACTAATTGGACTATACAAATTTATCAATATGAAAACAAAGTACTCATCATGAATATAACTCCTGGTTTCGTGTTGAGTGTACTGTAGCTAGAGAAGATGGATGCACCTAGACTACTAACTACGGCGTACGGAGTATATTTTTTTAAAGATAATACGGAGTAATTGCTATACTTGGTCAGAGCGGAAATTGTGGGAATGAGAACAATTTGAAACTATTTCGATTTCTTCCGCAGTTTTGGAATGCCGATTATGACCCTGACATCACAATAATATCCTAATTTAATGCAACGTAATGATTTCCTTCTTTTTTTAAAATTCATTGGTCAAAACTTTTAAATCTATCACAGCCATCCGAAACAATAGATCTAACGCCTTCAAATCATTCTTATTTCTTTCACCAAACACATTTCTCACTTGAACCAACCCATATATATATATATATATATATATATATATATATATATATATATATATATATATATAGTGGTTCCCCCTGTAGAGATGGTCACAGGGTTGATTGGCGAACCACACCACCCGGGTTCGATCCCCAGAAGATGCAAAATTGGAAGAATTTTAAAGAGTTAAGCGTGCTGGCATTGGAGTAGCAAAAATGATGGGTGACCCCTGGGAAGTAGATTTGGGCTTATGGGGCTGGGCTTTAGATTGGGCTTTCTATAGTGGGCTATCTACCTCGGGTGTTAACGGGCCCCGGGGTAGTCACGAGGTTAACGGGCCTCGGGCCCGCTGCTTGTAACCGACCGTTCATTATTTAAAAAAAATTTTAATATATATATATGTGTGTGTGTGTGTGTGTGTCTATATATATATATATTGAAAACCAAAGACGAAGGAACGTGGCATGACAAATTGAAAACCAAGAGCCAAGAACCAAGAACGAAGACTTAGAATTTATTGAGTCAGTCTTATTGTGATCAAGACCGGCACAAACTTCCAAAACTTGGCTCTCTAGGCTTACTCCATTAAAATATTCTTTTGCATATTCAAAAATGTTTTTCATAAGTTTTAAACAAGCCTAAAACACTTGGTGTTCGCCCAAACAAAAAACCAAGCCATCCGGCGTTCGGCTTTCAGAAACCGCCGTTTGGCATTCGGTTATCGGCGTTGGTTTTTTGCGTCCGAACCAATCAAGTGGTTTTCAACATTTTATGATTTGCTTTTACTTCTGGGCATATTTAAATAGTTCTCCAACAAAAACGCTTCAAAAACCACCCTTCGTTTTTGGTCGTTTAGTAAAAAACATGCGAAACGGCGTAAACTTGGCTAGCCGTGGTTTTTATCTAAATGACGTGGTTTTCAAGATGTTTTACTTGTTTTCTTAGCAAAATGCATTAAACAAAGGTTTTCGATACTTGGTTTTTACTTTGGAGAACTTAGATTTTTGACATCGGCTAACGGCATGACTAAACCAACCATGGGTCTGGCTAAACCAGCCCAACAACGATGTTGGAGTGACCAAAAGCGCTGTCTGGCATGGGCAGCTGAAAACCATGGTTTGGCGTTAAGTCTTCCAACACCGATGTTGGATGTTAGACATCGCTGTTGATCCAAGGTTGGGTTTCTAGAAACATCTGGAACAGCGATGTAGACTTCCCTACATCGCTGTCCAACCTAAGCCAAAAAGAAATGCCTTGGTAGAAAGTTTTTTGGACAGCGCTGTTGACCGAGCAACAGCGATGTCAGGCCAATTCTTCAACCTTCAAACTCAGGCCTGAAGAGTGATGTTCAAGTAATGAACATCGATGTAGGCACCTGACCGTTGGAAGGAATTTATGGCTAAAACCTTCCTTGTTTGGAAGTCAACAGCCAAAAAAGCGATGTAGGGGTTTTGGACATCGCTGTTGGCTTGACCGTTGCTTCCCAATTTTCAAAAACCAAGCCTAGAACAGCGATGACCAAGTTGTCTAGAGGATTTTCAGCAAATCCAATTTTAATCAAATCCCACAAATTGTGCCAATCACCCCTTAAATGTTTTGATCCGTTGGAGCCTATTTTTCCACTATAAAACGGGGTGCTTGGGTCTGTTTTACACATCACATTACTTCACAACTCCTATTCTTTCATTGCATATTATTCATACATTATTCATAGCTTTTCGAGAGCCATTTTTGTGAAGTTTGTGTTGTGTTCTTAAGCGTTCTTAGTTACTCATTATCCACTCTAAAAGAGAGTATTTGTAACACCCCACGAACCAGCCTAATTTTAGCGAATATTTTAAATAAATAAATATTATTTATTTATTGAGACTCATTATTTTAAATAATAAATATTGAGATTTCGATCTCATTAAATGGATGTCCAAAGTTAATATATTTTAATAACGGGCCTCTCAACATTAATTAAATAAATAAATTAATTAATGATTGATATGGATCCGGAAGTTTGGAAATAAAGTTTTTAGAAAAATATTTTGAAAATATCATAAAATTAGTTTTGACTGGTTATTTCCGGAAACGCAATCGATTTTCAATTCGGACCAGTACGGGGGAAGAAGCGCGTACCATCTAGGTCAGATTTTACACAACGGAATGAAATTTAGGGAGGAATCTCCATTTACTCCCCTCCCACGCCACACACACTCTTTTCCCTTTAATTCCCCATTAGTACCCATTAAACCCACATTCATTTTTCCATTAACTCCCCATTCATTTCCTCAATATAAACCTCTCTCTCCTCTTCATTTTCCTCCATCATTGTAACTCACCAACCATCCAACTCCCTCTCTCTCCCTCTCCCTTGAACATCCTCCAGCAGCATCTAGAAGAAGACGGAGCTCCGGCGAGGAGAAAGAAGGAGAAAGGCGAGAAGAAGAAGGAGAGGAAGGAGGTGCTGATTTTTGGATAACAAATCCTGTCAGCCTACTTTGGGCAGAACTTCGACCATTTTAAACTCGCTGTTTGGTCGTGGTTTCTTGACCAAAGTTGTAGCCCTGCGAGTTGGTGAACCATAGCCGCAAACGGTTCGTCAATCGGACGAGTAACGAAGTTGATACGGCCGTTTTACCAAAACTGGTCCAGCGGCGACGGAAGACGCGAGGTTTGCAACTTCCGCCTCCGTTCTTGTTTCGTCTCATCCAATCCGCTATTCGTTGAATGCATGCCGACTCTTCACAACCCCTATAACATATTCACGAGAAGAAACAGAACTCAAGAAGCCGTTTGGAAGTCGGAAGGTCAACGATATGATGACCGTTCGTTGACGCCGTTGATTCGTTCGGTCCCTTCTAACGTTGTGTCGTATTCGAGGTATGTACACCCTAGATATAACGGAGGAATCTTTAATATATTTATATGCGAATATGTTTGTTGTTTATATGATTATTTGTATATAGATTCATATCATGATATAATCTTGATCTATTAACGTTGCTAGAGAATAACGAGGATTACAACCGTTATGAAATAGAATGGTTATAAAAGGCTAAATGGATGTTTGACTCAAATATGAACAATAAGGATTGTGAAATAAAAGTGGAAGAATGGTTAGATTATGAAGAATATGTTTAGGCTTGAGGAAATAACAATGAATATCGTAATAGCATCATTCGATACGTATAAGTGAATAAATTTGACATGCGAATGAACAAGTTGGAAAACACCTAGACCATCTTAGACGATTACATGAACACGTAAATCCGTGCCCAAATATATGTGTTGTACATGTATGAACGAATGTGTATTTGTTGCTTTATATTGTTTTCCCGTTATAAAGATATATGGTATGACACTCGTTAAAATAAATCACCTATCAACTCGTTGGCATGAATAGGTACTACATATATGTATAAATTGTCATCTTAAATGTTCATTATAATTTTCAAAAGGTTGAACATAATTCGACAGACCAAAGTAGAACCCGAGTACTGTGATAGTAGACTGTCAAATTCTGATAATCTACTATCAGGTGCTGCTGAACTCTGATAATCGATTATCACAAAGTGACAATCGATTATCTGAGGCTGCGGAACATTTGATAGTCGATTATCACTTGGTGATAATCGATTATCAGAGGCTGCAGAAGTTTGATAATTGACTATCAACAAGTGATAAACGATTATCAGAAGCTGCTGAACTTTTAGAAAGATCCGAAATCAAAGTGCTTCCAAGGTAAGAATCATTAATTGAAATAAAGATTAAAAACCAAGACTTAGACTTCAAAATAAGTCTTCGGGATCATAAGTCAGGCCTCTCTGAACTTGGGTTTCCTGGACAAATTAACAAGACAATCGATTGTCATAAGGTGACAATCGACTATAATAGTCTATAGAACTTTGGGAACAGAAGCTGCACAGCATGATAATCGATTATCAACAATGGATAATCAATTATCAGCCAGTTCTGAACCCAGGGCCATTATGTTGAACAAATCATTTCCACACGGAATCAAACTAATATGTATGTGTTGAACTTAACTTTATTCTTCAAGCAATGATTCATATCATCATGTATAACCTAGACGCATGTTTAGGATCATGGCACACTTTGCATACCGTGACAAGAGGTCAGGCCTAGTGCGCCTCTTCCGCGGGCCCGTCCAGGAGCCTCCGGGATCCAACGGGTTTTCATCACGAGAGCTTGTGTACGTACATGGTAGCTAGGCTTAGCAATCACCCACATTCTAGTCTCCATCGGGATGACTAAGGCGTTCCTCGACTCGTCTACCGCGTGGGAATGATCACCGAAGGGCAGGGGTCCCTGCGTAGTCTAACTCATGCATCATGAATCATTTGGCATTGCATCGTTTGTAAATAATTATGCAGATCTTAATTATCAAATTGTAAGTGGTATTGCAAAACGTACCGCACTTCATATCCAACATCGTCAATGACAAGGCCAAGGTATTTATAATGGGATAATATTCCAAAATGAATCTCCATGATATGTATATGTGTTTCTTGTATCTTGTGCTATCTACTATGCAAGCATGAAAATTATGTGGCCAATGTGATGCATGGTATTTAAGTATAAATATGTTATCGATCTCTCGCGTTATCGTACCATTCAGCTTTATGCTGAGCGTGTAGTCTTTTTGTCTACACGTAGGTTGAAGCACAAGTTATGTGAACCACCCGGAAGACGAAGAGACGATAGGATGACAGGTTGACATGCATGATTTGCACAAGCATCGAATTTGAAGTTTTGGGTTTGACCCACATCATTGTAATTGTATTATTTTAGGTCTTCTGCTATCTCCGACATTTTGTAAAAGGATCGATCCGAATTTGGTATTTTGAATTTGAAGTTTTGTTTTATGAATTTTATTTAATGATTTGGAAAAGTTTTAAAAATATTTCTCCCGTTTCACCTTAATTCCTATAATTCCGGGTTATACGAATTGGGGTGTTACATTTTGGTATCAGAGAAAATGGTTTTAAATTCGGTCTTTTGACCATTTGAAAACATGCATTTTCAAAACTGCATTTGCATCCTAGAATCGTCTCCCGCCTCCGGAAAGGTAATTATGTTACGTACTCATTTGGTTAAAAGTTTGACTTTACATGCTTGTTAGATGAGTACTGTTGATACCAAAAGCGTGTCAAGCATTAACTCCAACAGGACTTTCATGCTCGGTAAGAGACGTAAGAACAAGAGGAAGATATACGACTCCAAGGAGCGCTACCAGCGTGCGCATCGTAAAGCAAGGATAACAAAACTGAAGATCTAGAAACGCCGGAAAGCGGAGTGGGAAAGAGATGACCCTGAGGAAACATTCAGCGTGGACTCTGCTAATAGTATCTGCGGCGGAGGTGTGGATATTCCTCCAGTGGGCTCAGCCCGACTTGACTAGTGGGTTACTTGCTAACTTATGGCATAGTCGAGGTTGTAATCGATGCAACATTTTGTCCCACTTGTCTGAACCAAATAAGTTTCTTGAATAAAATCCATCGATTGCTCATTAATCTATTATGCCCTTGTATGCTCCATGAAAGAAAGTAAGTGTGCTTTTGAGAAACCAACTTGTGATATAAATGAACCTGAATGGGAAATGCCGACAAACTCATGACTGACTCTTTGAGTTACATCCAACTGTCTAGAACAAACACTTACACGAAGACAAGTACGTTCGAAGTAGAAACGCTATGAAGACCAAAGGCGGCAACGACATTGCTATGTTCGTTTCTCACTTATCACTGGGTGGAAGGCCTTGTGGTAGTAACCAAGCCATCATTCAAACAAACCCTCCCAAGATAAGAATCCTTGTGACATCGTCAACTACCGGTAATACTCTGAAGGGTTGAGCAAGTATTATGCTTAACGGTCTCCCACACGAGTGATGGGCCGACATCCAACGAATAGAAATGATCTCACGTGTAGGTTGTGAGTAACCTTAGTGGGTTATGTAGTTAAAAGGCACCTTCCGTGGAAGCAACTACAACATCGGGAACCACGAGCCTTTCAAGAAAGGCATCGTATGAATGACGGCTCAAGCAAAATTGAATCACTAAGAAAGGTGGACACACGAAGACAACGACTGATAGGGTAGAACCACTCACACAACGACTTATGAAGAACAACGGTGACCATTACACTCTGAGGCTCAAAGGTACTCTTGCATAGAGCATGGCGGTGCATACATACAACATATGGGCTGAAGAACCCTGTAGTGAGAGTAAGAATTTGATTGTCAAAAGTGTAGTTGACTCGACCTAAACATGGACTTACTCTACCATGTCACCTACAACAGCGTCAAGGGGAAAGAAGCGAACAAACCTTTAGTCGAACCATGGATTAAACTTATACGATTGGTAGGGACATCACAATAATGACCCAATTACTTTCTTGGATTCTTACTTAAGACGAATCAATTTGTCTGCAACGTAAAAGGTGACACTTCTCCGTATATGACCATGGTGATAACTGCTTATGGAACCAAGAAGATAGAATATATCAAAAGGGAACTGTTCTTTGAGATCCCTAAATCATGACAACGTAGTTAAGGATATTGGTGTAACTTTGTGCGGGTGCACCATTCAACTCTCAACACTGCTAGGTGAACCAACATTGATGACTAGAACCATGCATCGAAGTGCGCAGCAGTGCTAATTAAACTCCACTTTCACCCACCAGTTGGGTTGATCATAACGATTGACATCGCAAGGAAAAGCTTTCAAAAAAAGGGGTTTATTGACATAAATGTTCTTTTCAACTACCTATGAGTAAGGAAAAGCCGTTTTTGTTATCAACATGAACCCTGATTTCAACTTGCCAACGAAACCTAGTAAAGATCACTTATCTAGTTACATTTTGTTAAAGTTACATCTGAGGTGTTTTGCAAAATAGTAATTCAGTGGGTAGCTGTAAAACAAAGTTTTGGGTAACGCACTATCTCCCTAAACACGTGAGTTTGACTTGAGGAGAATTTCGGGGACGAAATTCCTTTTAGGGGAAGATAATTGTAACGCCCCACAAACCGGCCTAATTTTAGCGAATATTTTAAATAAATAAATATTATTTATTTATTGAGACTCATTATTTTAAATAATAAATATTGAGATTTCGATCTCATTAAATGGATGTCCAAAGTTAATATATTTTAATAACGAGCCTCTCAACATTAATTAAATAAATAAATTAATTAATGATTGATATGGATCCGGAAGTTTGGAAATAAAGTTTTTAGAAAAATATTTTGAAGATATCATAAATTTAGTTTTGACTGGTTTTTTCCGGAAATGCAATCGGTTTTCAATTCGGACCAGTTCGGGGGAAGAAGCGCGTACCATCTAGGTCAGATTTTACACAACGGAATGAAATTTAGGGAGGAATCTCCATTTACTCCCCTCCCACGCCACACACACACCCTTTTCCCTTTAATTCCCCATTAGTACCCATTAAACCCCCATTCATTTCCTCAATATAAACCTCCCTCTCCTCTTCATTTTCCTCCATCATTGTAACTCACCAACCATCCAACTCCCTCTCTCTCCCTCTCCCTTGAACATCCTCCAGCAGCATCCAGAAGAAGACGGAGCTCCGGCGAGGAGAAAGAAGGAGAAAGGCGAGAAGAAGAAGGAGAGGAAGGAGGTGCTGATTTTTGGATAACAAATCCCGTCAGCCTACTTTGGGCAGAATTTCGACCATCTTAAACTCGCTGTTTGGTCGTGGTTTCTTGACCAAAGTTGTAGCCCTGCGAGTTGGTGAACCATAGCCGCAAACGGTTCGTCAATCGGACGAGTAACGAAGTTGATACGGCCGTTTTACCAAAACTGGTCCAGCAGCGACGGAAGACGCGAGGTTTGCAACTTCCGCCTCCGTTCTCGTTTCGTCTCATCCAATCCGCTATTTGTTGAATGCATGCCGACTCTTCACAACCCCTATAACATATTCACGAGAAGAAACAGAACTCAAGAAGCCGTTTGGAAGTCGGAAGGTCAACGGATTGATGACCGTTCGTTGATGTCGTTGATTCGTTCGGTCCCTCCTAACGTTGTGTCGTATTCGAGGTATGTACACCCTAGATATAACGGAGGAATCTTTAATATATTTATATGCGAATACGTTTGTTGTTTATATGATTATTTGTATATAGATTCATATCATGATATATTCTTGATCTATTAACGTTGCTAGAGAATAACGAGGATTACAACCGTTATGAAATAGAATGGTTATACAAGGCTAAATGGATGTTTGACTCAAATATGAACAATAAGGATTGTGAAATAAAAGTGGAAGAATGGTTAGATTATGAAGAATATGTTTAGGCTTGAGGAAATAACAATGAATATCGTAATAGCATCATTCGATACGTATAAGTGAATAAATTTGACATGCGAATGAACAAGTTGGAAAACACCTAGACCACACTTAGACGATTACATGAACACGTAAATCCGTGCCCAAATATATGTGTTGTACATGTATGAACGAATGTGTATTTGTTGCTTTATATGCTCTACTACTTGGCATAACCTTCGTTGAAACCATATGATCGTAGTTTTCCCGTTATAAAGATACTAGTATTCCTACCCGTGCAATGCACGGGTTCGGACGAATATCTTGTCGATTCTGAATTTATTCAATGCAATATTTTTTCCGAAATAAAGGAAATATACCTCATGCATGATTTATAATAACACAGAAAAGAAAGGCAAAGTAAAAAGAATAATATTTGAGGAATTGAATCTACACACAACAGAGTTTGCTTTAATACCAAATTTTTTGAAAAATTTCAGGGTATACAACATTTTTTGTATGGCTGCAAGGATTTCCATTTCATCTAAGACTAATATTTTTAATCTTGTCTTTGTCACTACTCACGAAAAAGCAACATAAAGCTGACCATGAGTGAACACTGACTTGGTTAAAAATAATCCAACAAATGACAATGTTTGACCTTGACTTTTGTTAATAGTCATAGCAAAACATAAGGCTATTGGAAATTGTCTTCTCTGGAACTTTAGAGGTAGTCTTGGATCAGACGGTACCAAATTCATCCAGGGTATGTAAACTTTTTCGCCCACTCGATTTCCAGAAACCACAATAGCACCAATAACATTCTTTCGCATCTCGTCAACAATTAATCTTGTAACATTACACAATTCAGATATTTGGTCAATGATCCTCAATAACATAATTGGTACCCCTTTTTTAAAACTATCATGTGGTTTGGGATTCCCAAACATTTGATTTCATTCAAAAACTCAACTGTTATCCAGTCGTCATCAACACCTACATCTGAATCTGCTTGGCATGATGAATCAGAACTCAAGTACACCATTTCATCTCCGGGAATGAGGGATAAGACAAATTCTTTTACCATTTCTACAACTTTGAGCGTGGGTGCTAGTAGTGCCCTGTCTTCAAAAAAAGAATAACTTCTCATATTCTCCAATAAGTTCGGATAAGTAAAGTCCACTATACTTTTGAGGGGTGAGCTGTTATCTATAGTCAAAAATTCGAGGGGAATTTCAGCGTCAGCAGCTCCATCAATCACTTGTCCTAGCTTTCCATCTCCAACTTTTATTATCCAATCAGAAAAATCTTGCGTGTCTCTATCTACGCAAGAGGACGTTGATGAATGCAACCTCATATTTTTCGTCAACTTAAAAACTTTACAATAAGACCACAAATTTGAAGAATTAATGGTAGCACCTACAATTTCCTCTCTCGAAGCTCTGGGTAAACCAGGAAGAATTTGTCTGAAATCACCTCCGAGTACAACCGTTTTCCCTCCAAATGGTTCATTTATTGAGTTTGGATTAGAAAACTTCATTAGATCTCTCATCGTGTGATCCAATGCCTCAAAAGAAAATCTATTCATCATACATGCTTCATCCCATATGATTAAACTTGCCTGTTGAATTATTTCTGCTTTTGGGCTCCCTTGTTTGATGGCACACGTTGAACACTCTGTTAGCGCCAAAGGAATTGAAAATCTAGAGTGTGTTGTCCTTCCCCTAGGCAAAAGCAATGCTGCAATCCCACTAAATGCGACATTCAAGACAACTTTACCACTTGATCTTAGAGAAGCAGAAAATGATTTCCAAAGAAATGTTTTTCCAGTTCCACCGCAACCATACACAAAAAAGAATCCTCCTTTTCCAGCAGTCACAACTTCCATTATTTCATCGTATATCTTCCGCTGATCTTCATTCATCGTAGATAAGTATCCCATAAGATCAGATGATAACTTTTCTTTATCATAGTTCAACTCCTCAACCAATAAATTGTTTTGAAATGTATTGAGTGGATGTCATCTGGAAATGGCATACAACTAAATTCCCTCAAAGAACGTCCATTTGAATTAAGCAACTTTTCAATCTCAATCAGACATAAATTCCTTAGGTCTTCTTGAGAAATTATAAGCTATGAAAAAAGAAATAGAAATAATGGAACTTATTTAATTCTACAAAGTTCTGAATAAATATTGTAGGTTTCAAGACAATGCATTATGTACGGATTAATATGTTAAAAAACTATTTCTCTATTGATATACCTTGATTACGCAATAGTCTCCTTCGATCAAATAAAATTCCATCCACCAGGGGTTCACATGATTTTTCCCAAACAACTTGCGGGTGACTCATGGTATTTGTCACTAATAATGTGACGAACAATTTTCTAAGCTGATTCCCAGAACATAACTCAGCAGCTTCTTTTATACCTTCAATAAATTCCTTATCATCAGCAAGTACCCCCAATGCAAACAGAACATTGTTAACTGTCTTCAAGCTTTCATAACTTGTACACCCCCGCGACAGTTAATAGTATTCTCAAGTAGTATAACTCTTCGGTTCCTACAGGCATGTATTGTAAGCGGCCTATTGATGGTATTTGTTTTCTCGGATGCCATTCTCGCTCCTTGTTATTGAACACAAAATGTCCTGGAAATTCTGCATACGTTAAATTTTCCCCCGCTTTGTACATTGAATTGGCAATCATCCAAGCCTCAAACATTGAAGGCTTGTAAAGATTTTGTCTGGCAACATCTATCAATATTTGTTGCTCCTTAAAAGTGACAAATTTCTGTCCTGGGAGATGGAAATTCAACCTCAATACTGCTGCCCATCTGTGGTGTATAAGAGGATTCTCCAAGATGCTTCACACTATAAAAATTAAACATGAGGCTATAAAAATTAAACTCCACACCATAAAATATGTTCAAAAACAGGAGGCTATAAATTTGAAATTAAGGTCTGAAAAATAAGGACAGACTCAAGTCGTCAATACTTTAATAAAAAATATGTTGTTTATGGTGCTGAAAATAGAAGATTCAAGGACAGCAGACTTATTACACTTTAAGAACGGCAGAGTTATTATTACATAAATTATAAGAATTCCTTCTTAGGCACTATTTAAAAAAATTTAGTCTCATGGTTTTAGGCACTGGAGAAACTTCAACATGAATAGGCACTAAAAAAACTAAACAGACTATAGTGTGTTTTGTTTTTTAATACTTAGAATCAGAACAGACTATGTTGTGTTTAGTTTTTTCAATACTTTGAATCTAGAGAAACTTCAAGAGACTAAAAATTAAACTCCACACCATAAAATATGTTAAAAAACAGCAGACTGTAAATCTGAAAATAAGGACATGCTCAAATCTTCAGTACTTTAATAAAAAAATTATTTTTTATGGTGCTGAAAATAGAAGCTTCAAGGAAAGCAGACTCATTATACTTTAAGAACAGCAGACTTATCATTCTTCATTTATTTATTCAATATGGGCAAGTGAAGAATTTCGGTTTTTATACAGATTAGTATAATTGTGTTTTGAAAGTAAAAGCAAAATAACCTTCCAGCCACTAAAAAATTATTAGAAATCCTATTAAACATAAATTTTATATTGTATGCAAAATACGAATAAGAATACAATTTTTACATGTTCGTCCATGAATATCATCTCAATAGAATTCGTCATCTTCTCATCATTATACACTGACATTTTGTACAGTCGAGTCACACGAACCAAAACTCTCCAGCATTCACTTAATGGATTGATCTTCAGCAAAGGCTGGATCGGTTTGGAAGACATGTCGATCAATCAGAGGTTTTAGGTATAAACACGGCTTAAAATGAAAAAATAGATTGATGAAATGGCTTACTTAAAATTTGATTTATATATGACCTAATATAAATCGCAAGAAGGAAGCTTATAGCAATAAGGTAGAAAATCCAGAGATTTGAACCGGAAAATTCGAAAGAAGAACAAATTTCACAGAGACTAATCATCATAAGAAGGAAAGAAGGCAAATCATCCCAAAAACAATTATGATTTTTTAAGAAAAGGGAAAGTTACCTATTCTTGGTACCGATCATTGGAATCTCCGTGAAGAAGGATCGTGAAGAAAGAAAGAGATTAATTCCAATCACATATTCTCTGAAATCTCGCGGTGGAGTCATTCGAAGATGAATATTGCAGGGAGGTGCAATTGAAGGAAAGTGCTGCTGATGTCTAGCTTCATTCAGACTTGCAGATGAATTCCACACAGAGTAGCCCAAATAAAAGAAGCCCAAAGTAATGAATCATTATCCAACCCGTTTGAAATATTGAGTAAGTCCAATATGATGACATGGCTTATGATGTGTCAAAAAAAATCCCCGTCAGCATGACAAATGTCAAAATTCTGGGTGTTAAACTCCCAAATATAATATATAAAGGATATGGTATGACACTCCTTAACGTAAATCACCTATCAACTCGTTGGCATGAATAGGTACTACATATATGTATAAATTGTCATCTTAAATGTTCATTATAATTTTCAAAAGGTTGAACGTAATTCGACAGACCAAAGTAGAACCCGAGTACTGTGATAGTAGACTGTCAAATTCTGATAATCTACTATCAGGTGCTGCTGAACTCTGATAATCGATTATCACAAAGTGACAATAGATTATCTGAGGCTGCGGAACATTTGATAGTCGATTATCACTTGGTGATAATCGATTATCAGAGGCTGCAGAAGTTTGATAATTGACTATCAACAAGTGATAAACGATTATCAGAAGCTGCTGAACTTTTAGAAAGATCCGAAATCAAAGTGCTTCCAAGGTAAGAATCATTAATTGAAATAAAGATTAAAAACCAAGACTTAGACTTCAAAATAAGTCTTCGGGATCATAAGTCAGGCCTCTCTGAACTTGGGTTTCCTGGACAAATTAACAAGACAATCGATTGTCATAAGGTGACAATCGACTATAATAGTCTATAGAACTTTGGGAACAGAAGCTGCACAGCATGATAATCGATTATCAACAATGGATAATCAATTATCAGCCAGTTCTGAACCCAGGGCCATTATGTTGAACAAATCATTTCCACACGGAATCAAACTAATATGTATGTGTTGAACTTAACTTTATTCTTCAAGCAATGCATTCATATCATCATGTATAACCTAGACGCATGTTTAGGATCATGGCACACTTTGCATACCGTGACAAGAGGTCAGGCCTAGTGCGCCTCTTCCGTGGGCCCGTCCAGGAGCCTCCGGGATCCAACGGGTTTTCATCACGAGAGCTTGTGTACGTACATGGTAGCTAGGCTTAGCTATCATCCACATTCTAGTCTCCATCGGGATGACTAAGGCGTTCCTCGGCTCATCTACCGCGTGGGGATGATCACTGAAGGGCAGAGGTCCCTGCGTAGTCTAACTCATGCATCATGAATCATTTGGCTTTGCATCGTTTGTAAATAATTATGCAAATCTTAATTATCAAATTGTAAGTGGTATTGCAAAACGTACCGCACTTCATATCCAACATCGTCAATGACAAGGCCAAGGTATTTATAATGGGATAATATTCCAAAATGAATCTCCATGATATGTATATGTGTTTCTTGTATCTTGTGTTATCTACTATGCAAGCATGAAAATTATGTGGCCAATGTGATGCATGGTATTTAAGAATAAATATGTTATCGATCTCTCGCGTTATCTTACCACTCAGCTTTATGCTGAGTGTGTAGTCTTTTTGTCTACACGTAGGTTGAAGCACAGGTTATGTGAACCACCCGGAAGACGAAGAGACGATAGGATGACAGGTTGACATGCATGATTTTCACAAGCATTGAATTTGAAGTTTTGGGTTTGACCCACATCATTGTAATTGTATTCTTTTAGGTCTTCCGCTATCTCCGACATTTTGTAAAAGGATCGATCCGAATTTGGTATTTTGAATTTGAAGTTTTGTTTTATGAATTTTATTTAATGATTTGGAAAAGTTTTAAAAATATTTCTCCCGTTTCACCTTAATTCCTATAATTCCGGGTTATACGAATTGGGGTGTTAGAGTATTGTTCTTGAGTGATTTAGTGTTCTTAGACACTTGACAAGAGAAAATCTTTCTCTTGTGTCGTTCGAAGGAAGGGTTGTTTCCTTCGAAGGTTCGTTGAGGTTTGTGTGACTCGAATTCTCAAGTTGTACGGGTTTGTTAAGCACTGTTAAGCTTAACGTTGATAGTGTAGCTCGAGAGAGTCTCTCGGGAGGATGGACTAGCCACAAGTTGTGGTGAACCAGGGTAAAAACGGTGTGCCTCTTCCTTGCTCTTTACTTTACGCTTTTAATTTTTTATTCCTGCGTCATTTTCGTTTCAAACGCTATTCACCCCTCCTCTAGCGTTGGGACGTTTATCTAACAATTGGTATCGGAGCCTAACTCTCTTCTAGACTTAACCGTTTGAGAGGAATAAGATCATGGGCTCTTCTAGAAACTTGTACGCAGGTATTGGCGAAGGGCAATCCACCTCCAGGCCACCGCTCTTTGATGGCACCAACTACTCCTATTGGAAGGAACGGATGAGAATCTATATCCGTTCCACCAACTTCCAATTGTGGTTGGTCATCAAAAATGGCGAGCAAATTCCAACAAAGAAAGTAGGAGAAACCACGGTCCCAAAGACCGAGGACGAGTTTGATGCCGAGGACATCAAGAAGGTTGAAAACTATGCAAGGCCATCAACATGCTATATTGTGCGGTTAACCCCGACGACTACTGAAAGATCTCTTGTTGCACAACCGCCAAGGAGATGTGGGACAAGCTTGAAGTGACGTACGAAGGTACCGATCAAGTTCATGAAGCCAAGATCGATATTCTCACCCAAGAGTACGAAATGTTCCAAATGAAAGAAGGTGAGAAAATCGATGACATGCTCGACTGTTTCTCAAAAATCATCAACGATCTTCACGCCTTGAAGAAAAGCTATTCCAACAAGGATCTAGTGAGGAAGATCCTTTGTAGCTTGACTCCCGAATGGCGCTCCAAGGTCGATGCCATTTACGAGTCAATTGGCGTCTCAAACGTCACAATTGATGGGTTAAGAGGTAATCTCAAAACTTAAAAACCTACTATTCTTAATCCATCATTGGACAAGCAAAAGAAAAAGGGAATAGCTCTCAAAGCCACCAAGGAACCGATGGAAGAGGCTTCAAGCGATGATGATAACGAGTTTGGACTCGTCATCAAAAAGTTACACAAATTCATGAAGAAGGAGTTTGAGCGGAAGGGAAGGAAGCACGACGGTCCTCCCAAGTGCTACGGCTGTGGCGAGATTGGCCACATCAAGCCGAGGTGTCCAAAGGCTAAGCACGGCAAGGACAAGTCCGGCTTCAAGAAGCAAAGGGCTTACATCTCTTGGGGTGGCGATTCCGGAGACGAATCAACCGACCAAGAGGAGGACGAAGATGCAAACCTTTGCCTCATGGCGCACGAAGACCAAAGCAACGACGTCCAAGAGGTATGTACCATTTCTTCCGACTCTTATACTTTTGAAGAAATACAAGAAGCACTTCATGAACTTTATGAAGAATTTGTTAGCACTTCCAAAACAAATAAATCTTTAAAGAAACGTATTTCTACACTTGAAAACGATTTTGAAAAATTGGAAAAAGAAAATGAAAAACTAAAACAAGAAAACAATTTTTTTGGAAAAAGAAGCGCTGACAAACCGGAAAGTTCCTCAAGTGAATGTGAATCCTGTAAGGCTTTAAAAGAACAAGTCACTAAACTTGAGAGCATGGTCAAGAAGTTTAATACTCCGCACAAAGATTTAAATTTACTCCTTGACACTATGCATTTTTCTAAGGAAGGAATAGGTTTTAATAAAAACGAAGCTAAGGTTAAAGAAAGCGTTGAGCAACCACCTAGACAACCACCTAAGGCTCAACGTAAGAAACTAAAAAATCAGAATAATAGAAAACCTAGTCAACCTAAGAACACTAGACAACCTAGACTAAAACCTAGGAATGAAAATGTTCATGGTAGACAACCTAAGAAAAATGATTTTGTGCATAAAACTGATTTTTCTCAAAATAGAAGAAATAATGTTAGAGCACCTAGAAAAGGCCAATTTCAAAACTTTCAAAGACCATCTTTTTCACAAAATAGAAACAATATGGTTAGACCCTCTAACTATTATGAACCTAGGCACATGTACAATCCCAACGTAGTTTGCCATTATTGTAATAGGATAGGCCATATTGCTCCCGTTTGTTACACTAGGCATAGACACCTATCACAAAATCAAGCACACTACCATCACACACCTAACACACGAGGACCCAACGTAAATTGGGTACCTAAAACTCATTGATGTGTTTCATAGGTGTGCTTGAAGGCATCAAGTGTACTTTGGTACCTTGATAGCGGATGCTCCAAGCACATGACCGAGGATGCATCCAAGTTTCTCCAAATTAAACCCGCTAAAGGAGGGAACGTGATCTTTGGAGACAATAGTAAAGGAAAAATCATCGGCACTGGTTCGGTAGGTAAATCTGAAAACTCCTCTATAGATAATGTCTTGCTAGTTAAAGGTCTTAAACACAATCTCTTGAGCATAAGTCAATTATGTGATAAGGGAAATCGTGTGACCTTCGATTCAAAATCATGCACGGTAGAACGCCTTAGTGACAATGAGGTTATTTTACGTGGTGATAGAATCGATAACATTTACATGGTTAACTTAGACAAATCACCTTCCGGCTTTGCTAAGTGCCTCATGAGTAAAGAGGAAGACACTTGGTTGTGGCACCGAAGGGTAGCTCATATGAACATGAACCTTTTGAACAAATTGGTTTCACAAAACTTAGTAATTGGCATTCCAAAACTTAAGTTTGAAAAAGACACCATTTGTGATGCATGTCAAAAGGGGAAGCAAGTTCGGGCTTCGTTTAAGTCTAAAAACGTTGTTTCAATGTCTAGACCGCTTCAACTTTTGCACATGGATCTCTTTGGTCCTTCTAGAATGAAAAGCTTCGGTGGTAATTAGTTTGCGTTTGTGATTGTCGATGACTACTCTAGGTTCACATGGACCTTGTTTCTTACTCATAAAAGTGAGGCATTTCACGTTTTCAAAAATTTTCTAAAGAAAGTTCAAAATGAAAAAGACACAACCATAGTAGCCATAAGAAGCGATCATGGCGGAGAGTTCGAACGAAATCTATTTTCGGATTTGTGTGATGAACTTGGGATTGATCATAACTTCTCAGCCCCACGTACACCACAACAAAATGGAGTGGTGGAACGTAAAAATAGATGTCTCGAAGAGATGGCTAGAACTATGATCAATGAGGCAAAAATCCTTAAGTATTTTTGGGCGGATGCGGTGAGTACCGCGAGCTACGTGTTAAACCGAGCCGTCGTTCGACCGATACTCATGAAAATGCCTTATGAATTATACAAAGGGAGAAAGCCAAACCTTTCCCATCTACGAGTCTTTGGTTGCAAATGTTTTGTTCATAATAACGTCAAAGATAACATGGGAAAATTTGATGCCAAGTCGGACGAAGGGATTTTTCTTGGTTACTCTTTACGTAGCAAGGCCTATAGAGTCTTCAATAAACGTACTTTGACTATCGAGGAATCCCCTCACGTTGTGTTTTCCGAAGATAGTACTCGCTTGGTGAGAAAGGCTATTTGTGATGATCTTGCAGATTCGCTCGAAAGGATACATGTTGAAGACGATGAAGAAGATACGCCAATATACACCAACCCGCAGCCGTAAACTGAGGAAAAACCTCAAGTGATGGTCGCAAATGAAGAAGATCAAGCGGACAAAGAAGAACACGAGGAAGCCCAGGAACAAGATGAAACCGAGCTTCCCGTCACTTGGAGAACGAATAAGAACCATCCACTCGATCAGGTAATCGGCAGCATCAACCGCGGGGTAAGTACTCGTAACTCACTTAGGGACACCGTAGGACACATGGCCTTTGTTTCTCAAGTTGAACCTACAACCATTTCCGAAGCAATAAACGATGAACATTGGACCTTGGCTATGCAAGAGGAGCTAAACCAATTCAAACGGAATGACGTTTGGGAATTGGTGCCAAGGCCCGATGATCGTACGATTATTGGTACGAAATGGGTGTTCCGTAATAAACTTGATGAAAATGGAATAATCACTAGAAACAAAGCTAGGCTTGTAGCTAAATGCTACAATCAAGAAGAAGGCATTGATTTTGAAGAAACCTATGCACCCGTAGCACGTTTAGAAGCTATTCGGTTACTTCTTGCTTTTGCTTCGTGTATGGATTTTAAACTTTATCAAATGGATGTTAAGAGTGTCTTCCTCAATGGTTTTATTCAAGAGGAAGTGTACGTTGACCAGCCCCCGGGGTTTGAAGACTTTGAGTATCCAGATCATGTCTTCAAACTCAAGAAAGCACTCTACGGTCTAAAACAAGCACATCGTGCTTGGTACGAACGTTTGAGTAAATTTCTTTTGGATAGTGGTTTCCAAAGGGGAATGGTTGACACTACACTTTTTATCAAGAGTAAAAACAATAACATCCTCTTGGTTCAAGTTTATGTAGACGATATTATATTCGGTGCTACTAACGAGTCTTTGTGCAAGGAATTCTCCAAACTAATGACTAGCGAATTCGAGATGTCAGTGATGGGTGAGCTCACATTCTTTTTGGGACTTCAAGTGAAGCAAATGAGAGATGGCACATTCATTTGCCAAACTAAGTATTGCAAAGAACTCCTAAAACGGTTCGAAATGGACAATGCCAAAGCCATGGCGACCCCGATGAGCATGTCTGACCATCTTGACAAAGACGAGAAAGGTAAGGAAGTTGACGTCAAAAGGTATCTAGGTATGATCGGATCCCTACTCTATCTTACCGCTAGTAGGCCGAATATCATGTTTAGCGTATGCCTTTGCGCAAGGTATCAATCGTGTCCGAAGGAATCGCACTTAACGGCGGTGAAACGGATCATGAAATACTTTGTCGGCACGGTTAACGTTGGACTGTGGTATCCAAAAAGCTCTTCGTGTCATCTCGTTGGTTATTCCGACTCGGACTTTGCCGGTTGCAAATTGGACCGCAAAAGTACGAGTGGGACTTGCCACTTACTTGGTAGTTCTCAAGTCTCATGGTTTAGTAAGAAACAAGTCAGTGTTGCGTTATCCACAACCGAAGCAGAATACGTAGCCGCCGGTAGTTGTTGTGCTCAAATCCTTTGGATGAAGCAACAACTCGTGGACTATGGCCTTAGTATCAATCACGTTCCTCTTCGTTGTGATAATACTAGCGCCATAAGCTTGACGAAGAACCCTGTTCTTCATTCAAGGACGAAACACATTGACATTAGGCATCATTTCATTAGACATCATGTTCTCAAAGGTGATGTCGAAATTGAGTTCGTTGAAACACACAACCAATTAGCCGACATTTTCACAAAACTTTTAGAGAAAGAGTCGTTCTTCCGCATTCGAAGTGAACTCGGAATTCTTGACTCCACGATGATCTAAGTTGTACATTTTCACTTACTAAATGTTTACTAACTTGAGCGTCGGAGAATTTTTTCTTTTTTGCAGGTACCCCGTTCATAAAATCAGGGGGAACCTACAGCGCTGTCCAGGAAACCAACAGCGCTGTTGAAGGAAACATCGTCAACTGTCTTGCTCAAACAGCGATGTACAATACTCCAACATCGCTGTCACAGGGAGTCTTCTTATTCTTTGCTTTCCAGAAACTTTTTGAACATCGATGTAGCATAGCTAAACATCGTTGTCTCCCTAAACACCATGTTTTCAAGCAAAACCAGAAAGTTCTTCAACACGCTGTCCATTTTTTACAAATTTTTTTTCCAATCGTAAAACATCGATGTAGGGAAACCCAACAGCGCTGTTCAAATGGGTTCAAACCCTTACACATTTCCAGAAAGTTTTGGAACATCGTTGTAGGATACCCAACATCGCTGTCCTTTTGACACCTGATTTTTTTAAACTTAACGCAGAACATCACTGTATGAGGGTACAACAGCGCTATCCTAACAGCGATGTCTCGTTCAGAACATCGCTGTTTGCGTTGAATCTTTCAAAAAAAATAACCGTTGGCAACTGCATTAATTGCTCTAACAACCATTTTTTTGAAAATCTCGATGTTGGGAACCTCCTTTTCTATATATTGGGACCCCCTCTCTTCACTTTTACACACACAAACACAAATCTCTTTCATCTTTAAGCAAATTTCATCTTCTCCACCTCTTTCTTGTGTGTTCTTCATCCAAAATGGGCAAAGACAAGCAAAGAGCATGTATCTCCGGGAAATCAAAGTCTAAATCCCAGGCTCCTCCTACGACCTCCGAAGAGTACCTCTACTACGGCGACGGATCGTACCTTTGGTTCGATTCCGAGGAGGAGCGCACCCGTTTTCTCACCTTCTTCTCTAAACGGGTTGTGGCTCCCCCGCGGATTGTCCCGGAGCGCCTACTGGAGTTGCAGGGCTACGACGATCTAGACGCCCAGCTTCACCAAACCGGCCTCTGGCCGTTCATCTCCCAGGCTCGGAAGGAGATAAACCCGGCGCTGATTCGGGTCTTCTACTCCAACCTCCGGCGTGAGGACGACGTGCTCTACTCCCTTGTCAAGAGCACGCCGATCGAGCTCACCATTGAGCAGCTTGGGCGCATCGCCGGCCTTCCCTACCAAGGCGACGACATCTCCAACTATGGCGGAGAAGACTGTGTGCTCAACAACGAGGGCCTTGTCCTCAACGAGCTTGGCATCACCGAGCTCATCCGCCATGCCACGGGCCGCCCCACCATCCACTCCGCGAACCCCGAGAGCCGCCTCATTCTCTACATCGTGTCTCGGATTCTCAAGCCTCGAAAACACGGGCACACGATCATGTCTGGCGAAGACCTCAAGCTCCTCCACGCCATCATGCACTCGGCGCCGATCAATTGGGCCAAGTTCGTCATGATTTACATGACGGACGCCACGTCTACGGCCCACGATCACCTCCTCCCCTACCCCTTCTTGGTGATGGACATCCTTGAACGGTTCAACACCCAAACCTTCAAGAAGCGGTCGGACAATGTCTGACCTGCCACTGCCACTGCCGCGCCACGCCGCACTACCGCTGCCCCAACCGAACCCCAGGCCTGGGCCAACCTAGCCTCCATTGCCGACTCCCTCAACCGGCTACACTTCAAAGTTGACGGGATGGATGGCTACCTTGAGCGGCTCGACGAGGCTGTTCAACGCCAAGGGCACGCCATGAACGCGTACTTCCAACGCGTTAACTACGTCCCTCCACCGTACCATGGCACGTTCCTTGGGGAAGTGTACGGTGACGAGGACGAAGAGGATGGCTCCTACGCCCCGTCAAGCTCCCCGGACTAAGATGAGTTCGATGACGCCATTGACGGTGATGAGATGGACGTCGACGACGACGAAGAAACCGAAGGCGAAGAGGAGGAAAACGAAGACTAGGACGCCCCTAGAATATCTATCTCTTTTCTTTTAATTACCATGTTTTTTAAATGGTTCCGTTGTACTCCGCTATTTCCCAATTCAATAAATAAAATTATCTTTTATCTTTTTGTTAATGTCAAAAGGGGGAAGGAAAGGGCTATGCATATACTAAGGGGGAACGTCTCTAAACGGGATAGTTTGATTTTAAAACGACTACTTATTTTTAAGCACAAATTAAGGGAGAACTTTTTTCACACTTTCTTTTGAAAATCAAATGTCCCTTAGTATGCATATCCCCGTCTTGTTTGCCATTATCAAAAAGGGGGAAATTGTTGGAACACGGGTTTACGCCTATATCGTACTAAACCGTGTTCATTTTATGACAGGTTTTGATAATGCCAAACCGCCGTGATAACAAGATTAAGCTGCGCAAACCAAAGGCGAAGGAACGTGGCATGACAAATTGAAAACCAAGAGCCAAGAACCAAGAACGAAGACTTAGAATTTATTGAGTCGGTCTTATTGTGATCAAAACCGGCACAAACTTCCAAAACTTGGCTCTCTAGGCTTACTCCATTAAAATATTCTTTTGCATATTCAAAAATGTTTTTCATAAGTTTTAAACAAGCCTAAAACACTTGGTATTCGCCCAAACCAAAAACCAAGCCATCCGGCGTTCGGCTTTCAAAAACCGCCGTTCAGGATTCGGTTATCGGTGTTTGTTTTTGGCGTCCGAAGCAACCAAGTGGTTTTCAACATTTTATGATTGGTTTTTACTTCTGGACATATTTAAATAGTTCTCCAACAAAAACGCTTCAAAACATGGGCAACTGAAAACCATGGTTTGGCGTTAAGTCTTTTAACAGCGATGTTGGATGTTAGACATCGTTGTTGAGCCAAGGTTGGGTTTCCAGAAACATATGGAACCGCGATGTAGAATTCCCTACATCGCTGTCCAACCTAAAGCCAAAAAGAAATGTTTTGGCAGAAAGTTTTTGGACAGCGCTGTTGACCCAGCAACAGCGATGTCAGGCCAATTCCTCAACCTTCAAAGTCAGGCCTGAACAGTGATGTTCAAGTAATGAACATTGGTGTAGGCACCTGACCGTTGGAAGGAATTTATGGCTAAAACTTTCCTTGTTTGGAAGTCAACAGCCAAAACAGCGATGTAGGGGTTTTGGACATCGCTATTGGCTTGACCGTTGCTTGCCCATTTTCAAAAACCAAGCCTAGAACATCGATGTCCAAGTCATGGACAGCGCTGTCTAGAGGATTTTCAGCAGATCCAATTTTAATCAAATCCCACAAATTGTGCCAATCACCCCTTAAATGTTTTGATCCGTTGGAGCCTATTTTTCCACTATAAAACGGGGTGCTTGGGTCTGTTTTACACATCACATTACTTCACAACTCCTATTCTTTCATTGCATATTATTCATACATTATTCATAGCTTTTTGAGAGCCATTTTTGTGAAGTTCGTGTTGTGTTCTTGAGCGTTCTTAGTTACTCATTATCCACTCTAAAAGAGAGTATTGTTCTTGAGTGATTTAGTGTTCTTAGACACTTGACAAGAGAAAATCTTTCTCTTGTGTCGTTCGAAGGAAGGGTTGTTTCCTTCGAAGGTTCGTTGAGGTTTGTGTGACTCGAATTCTCAAGTTGTACGGGTTTGTTAAGCACTGTTAAGCTTAACGTTGATAGTGTAGCTCAAGAGAGTCTCTCGGGAGGCTGGACTAGCCACAAGTTGTGGTGAACCAGGGTAAAAACGGTGTGCCCCTTCCTTGCTCTTTACTTTACGCTTTTAATTTTTTATTCCTGCGTCATTTTCGTTTCAAACGCTATTCACCCCGCCTCTAGCGTTGGGATGTTTATCTAACAATTATAGCTGGGCCGAATTAACACACTAGGCCAGTATATAGAAAGTTTAAATATTTATTAATTTATTCTTTTGGCTTCATTTGTTTAAAAAAATCATGATATACTTTTTTTTATTACAGATATAGGAAGAATTGGAAGTTTAATTGATCCATGTTACAAGTGCAACAGTAACAAAGATTCACTTGATATGAAAATGTGTTGGAAATGCTTTAGTGTCTTTGGTCATATGCGCTGCTTGCAAATTGGAGATGTCGGTTTTGGTCTATTTTTTATTTGTGATGATTATGCTATTTTACCACCAACATTGCCGACTCCATTGCCTGTTTCTCCTCCGCCACCTATTTCTCCATCTGGGCAACGAATGGAATTAACACCTACATTCGCAACGTTGAGAAGATTTAAAAGGCTTAAAATAGCCAATAGGAAATATTTCAATGATGACTATGTTGTTTTTGTTAACCTAAGACATGTTTGGGAGTGACGACTATTTATTTACTTGATGTTTTTTTTTTGAAAATTAGCATCAATGTTAGTTTATTTTATAAAATACTTTTGTAGTCTATAAGGAATGTGTAATATCCTAAATATTGCAAGACGACGCTAATCATTTTGTTAGACATCAATGGTTGTATAAATAGCCAAAATCCACCATTGGGTTTTTTATTACTAATTTATATTTCGTTGGGCATTGTTATTATTGTATTGTATGATCTGAACATTGTTTACCGATTATTTAAATTTAATGAGATGTTAAGCCTTAATGTTATTTCAATATTTATAAACTAACTAAATTTGTATGTTATATTTTCATTTTTACAAATTATATAGAAAATGGAAGTTCCAATACTGCTAAAGAAAATGGAAGAAGATGTCGAAAGGAGATGGAAAATTACACTACATCGCCGTTGAGCAACTTAACAAATGGTAAATATTTTTATTCTTGGTGTTATGTGTATTTATTTATTCCGATTAGGCTCAGGTCACCCGTAAAAATCGGTCTGTAGTTGTGCACTACAAGGGTACCAAAAGGAGCAACACCCCAACCCAACCTCGCCACACTCCACTCACAAAGAAACGGAGAAGAACAGAGATGAGCACACAGAGAGAGACAAAACCCACACGGAAGTCTCACAAAAGAGAGAAGGAGTTTGTTTTGCACGGTTGAAAACTCAAAGGGGAAGCCTCAATTTATAGTAGAGATTTAGGAGCTAATTAAGGTAAGCTTAATTAGGTTAGGAATAAAGATTGGGCTTGAGTAAATGGGCTGCTGGGTTGGGTGTCGAATATTATTAATATGTTTGGGCCAACCCCAAATAAATTAACAATCTCCACCTTTAGCCCAAAGTAGTGCACATAGTTTGAAAAGGAACCGCGGGACTCATCATAGCCTAATAACCACTAAATGTGTAATCAACAAATGAGAACAAACGTAGCGGTGGAGATTTCACTAAGTACTCTCAAGTCAGGAAGACTAGGCAACATCACAAAGCATGCCAAAAAAATAACTCAAGAAGAGTCGAACTCTACCATTGGGTCATCGAGTTCAAAAAACAAAAGAAAAGCAAAAGTCACAAAGACTAAAAAGAACAAAAGATCAATACACAATCACACAGATACGTTTAAAATCTTTTGACATAAGGTAAATTTTTCAACAGGTAAACACTTAGTACCCATGTCAGCTGGATTAGACTCCGTAGGAATTTTCTCCAGCATGACAATGCCCTTTTCAACTATGTCTCTAATAAAATGAAATCTAACATCAATATGTTTTGTTCTATCATGAAAAATAGGATTTTTGCATAGTTGAATGACAGATTGACTATCAGAAAAAACAACCACATTCTTATCAAGCAAGCATATTTCAGATAAAAGACCTTTAAGCCAAATGGCTTCTTTAAAACCATCTGTGGCTGCAACATACTCAGCCTCAGTAGTAGATAAAGGAACAATGTGTTGAAGTTGAGACTTCCAACTAATGCAAGAACCACACAAAGTGAACACGTACGATGTAGTAGATTTTCTATTATCCCTATCGTTTGCATAGTTAATCCACATAGCCAATCAATTTAACACTTTTATCACTTCTTGAAAAAGTTAAACCAACATTCCTAGTAGATTTCAAGTATCTCAAAAGCCATTTTAGAGCATTCCAATGAGCCATACCATAATTAGACATGTATCTACTCAAACAACTAACAACATATGCAATATCAGGCCTAGTGCTAATCATAAGATACATCACAGAACCAATAGCATTCGAATAAGGCACACTTTTCATTTCATTAATTTTAGCTTTAGTTTTAGGGCACATATCCTTACTCAACACAAAATGAGCAGCTAAAGGAACATCCACAGGTTTAGCATTAGACATAGCAAATTTACTCAAAATCTTATCAATGTAGGAATTTTGATTTAAAACAAGAGTAGATTTCTTTCTATCCCTAACAATATTCATGCCAAGTATTTTTCTAGCATCTCCTAAATCTTTCATGTCAAAATTTTTGCAAAGATAATTTTGAACATGCTCAATAGACCTTAAGCTAGGACTAATGATTAGCATATCATCCACATAAAGGAGAAGAAAAACAGGAACAGAGAAAGTGTTCTTGAAGTACAAGCAGTGATCAGCATTACTTCTCTTAAAACCAAAGTTTTTCATGCAATTATCAAATTTAATGTTCCATTGCCTAGGTGATTGTTTTAAACCATACAAAGCCTTTTTCAACAAGCACACATGATTAGGCAACTTAGGATCAACAAATCCTTCAGATTGGTGCATATAAATATTTTTATCAAGATCACCATGTAAGAAAGCAGTAGTAACATCCATTTGTTTTAATTCCCAATTATACTGAGCAACTAAAGACAACATGATTCTAATTGTGGTGAACTTGACAACAAGAGAAAAAATTTCTACATAATCTATTCTCTCCTTTTGAGTAAATCCCTTAGCCACAAGTCTAGCCTTAAACCTAACATTTTCAGGTTCTTGCTTAACTTTAAACAACCACTTACAGTCCACAAGAGAACAATTATCAGGTTTTGGCACAAGTTTCCACGTTTGGTTAACACGAAGGGATTCCATCTCACATTTCATAGCACTAACCCATTTTTAAGAACATTTAGATTCTAATGCTTCACGATAAGTCTTAGGTTCATCACACTCAAGGGATTCAAACACATGAAAAGCAAACTCAGACATATTACAGTCATCAACATATCTCGCAGGTTTGCTAATGGTTCTTCTATTTCTATCCCTAGCAAGTTGATAGTCATGCAAATCATTTTCAACATGTGATTCTACACTATCATGCTCCACCTCATTAGAAATAGTCTCCATCTTCATTAGTGTGTGAATCATGGTTCATATCAACATGTTCATTAGTTTCTACATGCACATCAGTAGTAATGATAACAGGCAATTGCTCCACCTCATTTGGAGCCACATTTTCAACATTGGGAATAGGCAAGGACAAACAAGGAAAATTATTTTCATTGAAAACAACATTTCTACTTATCACAATCTTAAAACCTGGTTCACCTTTTACCCACAATCTATAACCCTTTACCCCATCAGGATATATCCCAAGAAAACACATAGTTTAGATCTTGGTTTGAGTTTATCATTCATTTGATGCACATAACCAGCACAACCAAACACACGCAGGTTTGATAAATCTAAGGGTTTACCCGAGAAAGAAACTTCTGGGCAATTCCCTCATAAAGGTATAGATGGAGACCTATTGATCAAATAAGCAGCAGTGCAAACAGCTTCACCCCAAAATTTTTTAGAAAGTCCAGAAGTAGCTAACATGGCCCTCACCCTCTCTAAAAGAGTTCTGTTCATCCTCTCAGCAACCCCAATTTTTTGAGGCGTGTAAGGAACAGTTTTGTGTCTTTTAATACCCCAAGTAATACACAAATTATCAAGTTGTTTGTTGCAAAATTCAAGGCCATTATCTGTCATAAGTGTTTTTATTTTCTTTCTAGTTTGGTTCTCAATCAAAACTTTCCAGTTTTTAAATTTATCAAAAACTTCAGATTTTTGTTTCAAAAGTAAGACCCAAACTTTCCTAGAATAATCATCAATTATGGAAAGAAAATATTGGTTCCCTCTGTGCGTGGAAGCACTGGCAGGACCCCACTCATCGGCATGCAAATATTCAAGCACATCAGAACACTTAGTTTGAGTAACGGGATTCGGGTTAGGAAAACTAACGCAGGTTTGTTTTCCAAGCACACAAGATTCACAGAAAGGAACATGCATAAACTTATTACTACCCAAGTTTCCATCTTTATGCAATATTTCAAGTCCTTTATTACTCATGTGACCCAACTGTTTATGCCATAGAACAGAATTATCAACCACAGAATTAGCATGCTCACATACAGGTTCAGCTTTGCACACATACAAATTATTTTTCTTTTCAGCTTTGAAAACAATAATTGAACCCTTCATGTTTTTCATAACACCTTTCCCCCATTTTCCCTCAAAACCCTCATTTTCAAGAGATGCACAAGAAAGCAAATTATAGGACAAATAAGGAACATGTCTAAAATTCTTTAAGTTCAAAATAGATCCAGAATCAAATTTAAGACACATATCTCCAATTCCAAAAACTTTGCATTTCTTTTCATTAGCCATGGACACAATAGCATTATCAATCTCTTGATAGTTTGAAAAAAGGTTTTTAAATGGTGACATATGAAAGGTGCAACCAGAATCAACTAGCCAATCAGATTCACACAGATAATCCAATAGCACAGAGTTCAAATAAGCATAATCTTTGATCATTAACACATCACCAAAGTTGTTTGATTCACTAGCCATATTAGCATGATCTTTTTGCTGAATTTTCTTAGGCTTAGAACAACTATTACTGAGGTGACCATATTCATTGCAATTGTAGCATTTTCTTGTTTTAGATTTGGATCTAGACTTACTCCTTCCCTGGTTGAATTTTCTCACATTTGAGTTATCATTGTTAGCATGTTTATGGTTTTGAAACTTATTCAAAGTTCTACCCCTCACATGCATAACCTCCCCAGAATTTTTATCACTCTTAGAATTTTTCAACTCTAATTCCTTACTCTTGAGACCATTCACAACAACATCAAGAGAAATATTATCCCTACCATATTTAATTGCAGATTTGACATCACTGTAGGAATCAGGAATAGCATTCAAAAGAGCAATGGGGGTGTAGTCATCAATATGTTTATCACCGGTTAATTTAATATCAGAAATCAGTTTGGTGAAAACATCTAGATTTTCTTCTATGTCTTTAGACATATCCAATCTAAACTTGAAAATTTTTTCAAGTAAGAAAATCTTATTTGGCAAAGAAGTTTCAGTATAAAGTTCATCAAGTTTATTCCAAAGATCTTTAGCACATTCCAAAATTCCAACTTTTCTGATCACACAGTCACTTAAGTTTAAGTAAATTATGGAACATGCAATTTCATTCATTTCAACTCTTTTCTCTTTAGCGTTTGTTTCTAGATATGAATCACTAACAGCCCTATAAACTTTTTGATGAACAAGAACACACTTCAATTTTTGTTTCTAAATACTAAAATCAGTTTTTCCATTAAAAGGAGTCAAAGCATACTGATTCATAGTGGACATATCCACAAAGGAGAAAAATAATCAAAAAATCACCACAAAGGAGAAAAAACCCACAAAAGAGAATAAAAACTGAAAAAATCAGCAACACAGAGGCACGTAGAATTTGGCCTAAATTTTCCAAATTTGGCTCACGTGTGTTAAGCAATCGCACGAACAACACAAGATTATTATGTTAGCAAAAATTGCTTACTCAATTCCGTTGTTCTTTCACACGAGCACAAACTATAGTGGAATTAGGCAATAATGCAGCAGAATTAAACAACCCCAAAAAATTGCTACGAAAGCAAAAGGAAAAAGAGTTGTGTGCCTGGGCGAATCTAATGCCTAGATTCGACTTACCAACTCCCCAAAGAATGAAATTGAGATACCCCTCTCGCTGGAGTTCTGAACTTGCCGACCATCCCTGCCTAGGCGCTGCTCTACCTTGCTGGCGTCTGTTATTGTCCTCCAAGGATGTCGATTGCTGGACACCCGTTGCTCCGCCTGAGTACCGAACTCGCGTGGTCCACGTAGGGCCTCAACGATTGAGAAAGGAAATACGGACAGAGGAAGAAAATGGATCCGGTGTAGAATTTGGAGTGGAATTTGGAAGAAAGCAACTCTCTTTTTTTTAAATTAAAGAGATGAGAAATAAAAAACCACGCACAAAGTTTGACCAAAGGAGATGGGTTTTTTTTTTGAAGTCAATGAGATGGGTTTTAAAAAACAAACAATAAAAAATTGGTAACGATAGCAGATCCGAGAGAAAACAAATTGACCCAAATTGACCCCCCACGGAAAAATAAATAAATACTGAGCACAAACTAGGCTCTGATACCACTGTTGTGTGTATTTATTTATTCCGATTAGCTCAGGTCACCCGTAAAAATCGGTCTGTAGTTGTGCACTACAAGGGTACCAAAAGGAGCAACACCCCAACCCAACCTCGACACACTCCACTCACAAAAAAACAGAGAAGAACAGAGATAGCACACAGAGACAGACAAAACCCACACGGAAGTCTCACAAAAGAGAGAAGGAGTTTGTTTTGCACGATTGAAAATTCAAAGGGGAACCTCAATTTATAGTAGAGATTTAGGAGCTAATTAAGGTAAGCTTAATTAGGTTAGGAATAAAGAGTGGGCTTGAGTAAATGGACTGCTGGGTTTGGTGTCAAATATTATTAATATGTTTGGGCCAACCCCAAATAAATTAACACTTGGTCTTAGATAATTTAAAAAAATTGAGTTTTTCGGAAAACAATTTTCCTAATCATTTTATTTACGGTGATGGTTTGTACACCGTTTGATCGATTCTCTTCGTCTTCATCACGATTTGTTGATGCCTCAACTCATTTATATACGCCTGATTACACAACTCAACCTCAGAGTTGTATAACACAAAAAAAGCAAGTAGAGGTAGCAAACGATCATTTGAAGCTGGTATGTTTCACATTATTTTTTTCATATGTGTAAAATTAATACATATATTCTTCACATTTCGTATTTTTTTTGACGTATTTCAAGTTTTATACTTTAGTAATTTTGAACATTAGCAGTGAATGGAGATAGCAGTACTCCTCTTCTTTCGCCTGTTCTTACGGATGTGTTTATTACACAAACTTGGGGCGTTGATTCAAATTTATGTCATGGACCTTACCATCAGGATCAAGACGAGGTTGTTAGGGATTTAGATTTGGACTAAAAACAATTAAATAAATAAAAATGGGGTAAAAATGAGTGGTGAAGAAAGGGGTGGGGGACAAATGGGATACACCTTTGGTGTACACCTAGCATTGCTCTTTTAAATAACATCTGAGCATCTGGTGTCCCAAACCATGAATTGAAGTTAAAGATTGGGACACCGGTGATGTTGTTGAAGAATATAGACCAATCTTCAGGTTTGTGCAATGAAACAAGGTTGATCATTACACGACTTGGCAATCATCTAATTCAAGGCAAGGTTTTGACAGGGAAAAATATTGGTCAAGAAGTTGTTATCCCACGATTGTTGCTTACAACATCGGATACAAGAATTCCTTTTAAATTTCAAAGGAAACAGTTCTCGATTATGATATCTTATGCAATGACGATTAATAAAAGTCAGGGACAATCATTGACGCATGTTGGGCTCTTACTAAAAGAAACTTGTATTCAGTCATGGACAACTTTATGTGGCGTTATCACGAGTCACTAATCGCAGTGGTTTAAAGATTTTGATTTGTAGTGAAGATTCTGCGACAACAAATAAAACAGCAAATGTAGTCTATAAAGAAGTTTTCCAAAACTTATAATTGTATTCTTGCTTATTCTGCATTGTTGTAAAATGCATTCTCTTTAATATACATTACGTATCTTTGTTAAAACCTAATTTTATCTCTTAATTATATCAATGCTTCCCCAAATTATATACGAGTATATAATTGTGAACTAAATACAGAAAACTAACTATAATTGGGACTTTATAGAATTTACTTTTTTCTAAAACTATTTGCGATTTTGAGTTAACAAAGTTCAGCTTACAACGCCCTCTAGGGCGCGTGTCTTTGCATCAGCGTTTCCAGGTTCGATGGGAGCCATCGCTATATAAATTGGGGTCCTCTGCCATGGAGAACCGTTTCTCATCCAAAGAAAATACAAGAAAGGAATCGTAGACCCAAAGAGACGTTGAATCTAAAACCCTAACCCCTTAATCTGGTTTTCCACTCTCGTTCTCTTGGAAAAAAAACATTAATTTATTGGAACTGGACAATGTCTGCCATAGTTTGTGGCAAGAGATCGTTTTTCGATGACATTCCGGCGTCGCCGATGTCAGCTTCATCGCCGGCTTCAAAGAGGATGCGCCGCTCATCCTCCACTTCTCCTGTTCGATTCTCGGTTTCGCCATCTCAGCCTAGCCTCTTTGATCAAGTCCGAGCCCGCTTTCCTAATACCGATACTCAGGCAAGGTTTCTATTGAAATCCTTGTGCTTACACTTCGAATCTAGATTTTTGAATTGCAAATGTTGTTGTAGTCTTTTAAAGAAATCATTCGGCTTATCTGTTATTTTAGGATTAAAGTATGGGGAATTGTTTTATTTTCTTTTTGTGAAATGTGAGCTTGAGATGAAAGACATCCAAATATTCCAAACCGATCTTAGAAAGACTGATTCTTAGAACTTGTGACATCCTCCCAAACAACATGAATCTCCAAATTGATGATAACTAATTAATTCAAATTCATGATTTCCTCTCTTCTTATTACTGAAAACTTGAAAAGTATTGCCTTTAGAATTGGTTCCCTGAAAGTGTGAATTTAGGTGCCCAGAAAAAGTGTTGTGCTGAGTTGGGAGATCCCCTTTGGCGTAGTCGTCACGGGATTTTTTTCATACAAGCTATTGTATTGTTCAGATTATTGAGAAAGCTGTAGAAGAATGTGGCAATAACTTGGATGCTGCGCTTAAGAACTTGAATGAGCTGCTGCTTGAACATGCACATGGAAAGCCGAGTGGTGATGTCGAAGAAAATACAACTATGCAGAGTGGTATGTCTTTACATTTAGTGGGTAATATAATGCTAGTATGCAGTATGCACAGTGACACATGATCTTTTGCATTTGATTATTAAATTCACATAGGTAGTATTCTTTAGAACTTTATTATTATCATATAATCCTATCCTACTTAGCTAACCTAATTGCTACTCTTTAAACAAAAAAATTATTCTAAGGTGAATTTCAAAACAGATTATGTGTATCTCCTCACCCATTGATGTAGTTATTTCGAGCAGAAGATTACTCATAGAAGTGGATCCACCCTCTTCACGGGACCATGGGAGGGACCCTAGTCATGTCATTTTTTTCTACCCATTTTTATCTCTTTGGTTAGAATCCATGTGCATCTCTCCTCCCATGTTTAACTCTTTGTTAAAATCTAGTTATGTTTTTTATAGTCATGTTATTTGCTTAAAATGATATAAATGGATTCTTAAGTGGTGTATGAAGGAGCTAATGAAAAATAATATGGAGTAATATTTAAAGAACTTAAAAATTGCAGTAATCTCGTTTCTATTTTAAGACATGACTAAATCCTAGCCATGACTATCATCACGTTTGAGGGGTCAAGTTGTAAACAACCTTACCCTACAAGAAACAGAGAGGTACTTGTGTTTGACCCTTGGTGCACTAGTTCATTTATTATCCAAAACTTCACAGAAGGTGTTTGGGGTTGTGGTGGATTCCTGAATAAGAAAAAGTTATAATTAGAAGCGTAAAGTATATAGAGGGTGTTTGGCAGTGTGGTAGATTATTGAAAAAGCAGAAGTTTTAAGTCCAAGTGGAAAGCTGATATTTTTAGCTTTGCTTAAAAGCACTTCTGGAGCCCATTTTAGACTACAGAAGTCATAATCTATAAGCAAAAGCAGATTGGCAAACACGACAAATATTGTTTTGGTGAAGCAAAAGCTCATAAGCAGTTTTTAAACGCAACCCCAAACGCCTTCATAGTGTTAGCTTTGCTTGAAAGCACTTCTGGAGTCCTTTTTAAACTTTTGAAGTCGTAATCTATAAACAGAAATAGATTCCCAAACACGTTCAGATGCATTTTAATGAAGTTGAAGCTCAGAAGCATTTTTAAAACACAGCTGCAAACACCCTCAAATAAAGTAAGAAGGAAAGGAACTTTATAGTTACATTTTGATTGAGTCCATTATTACTCAAAGCTATTAAATGCTCTAGTCTTGAAAACTAGTTGAAGCTAAATAATTTAGTCTCAACAGGAAAGAATAGTTCCAATATAACTACATGATCCCCTTTTTTCATTATTCCTTCATTGTTTCGATATTTTTGTGTTACAAGTTGAAAAGGATTAAAATGATCATTTCAAGTCATGTATGCATGTCTTCTCATAAGAGACTGTTTTTAAAAAATCCATCTTGATGCTGAGGCTAATGATTGTGTTTCTTTTTTTATTATGGCTGTAATTATAGTTGTACTGATAGAGTCGTATAAATTTGGCAGGTGCTGGAATAGCAGTACCTAGTGAAGGTCATAATCTCCAATCTGATCCTCCAGTTGATGGTTCAGGGTGGGTGGAATTGCTTCTGAGGGAAATGACAAGTGCTGCAAACATAGATGATGCTAGAGTTCGTGTTTCAACAGTTTTAGAGAGTTTAGAGAAATCCATTAGATCGCATGCAGGTGCGGAATTGGCTCAAAATATTCACAAGGTTGGTATCATTGATTTAATATAAGTGTTCACCTTAGCTAGCTTAAATATTCAATCATTTGCTCTATCATACCCTTAATAAACACCCAAATTTACTCCCTAGCTAGCTAAAACAGATAATATAAGTGTACTCACTTGTATATTGAACTTTAAGTTGAATATTCAAGAGGAGTATGTTGTATTGAGTCCCTTAATTCATACACTTAATGAATATGTGTGGGGGTGGGGATGGGTTGGTGGGGGTGTGCGTGTGCACGGTGTGCTTGTGTGTTTGTGTGTATGTGGTGTGGTGTTTCACATGTCCGGTGCTCTACCCTGTCAGTAAGAAATGACAGAAATAATTTTGAGCACAAAGACGCGATCTTAGCCACCAAGATAAAATGTCATAGTAGTCCAGACCAAAGATCTGAAAATAGTCTCTAGCAGCCAACAAAGCATTGAGGGTTTCAAATCCTTCCAATCATACCTTCTTGTATGGTCTATACTGTTAAAGTGACCTACACTCAATCACATGGTTCACCAGAAGGAAAGATGATTAATTAATTCCCTTGTACTGTCACTTTGTAATGCCTCCATCTCAGTAAACATAGTTTGATGCCACAATGTCACCTTGGATCCAATCACATGTAGGTTTAGGAATATGCCGAGAAACTAGCTTGTAAGAACACGTAGTAAGGGGTAGAATTGTAGAAAGTAGAAAGACATGATAGTTCATGGCGGCATGCATATATGTGGTTGGGACTACAAGTAGAACGTGTGCCTTTTTGAATGAGTTACTCAGTGGGATATGTTTTAGACTTTGGTGGGTCCACAACTTTTAAATGCACCCATATTTTTTCCTTGATCAAGAGTGGTGGGTCTGATATTCAAAATAATATGTGAGAGATCTGAAATGGGAGAATACATCTTTCTTGCCAGACTATTATCCTTCATTTGTCACTATGATTCTTTGTTGCGATTCTTTTCTTGTGAATGCACGGAGTATATAACAATACATGCTCCATATTTGTTTTTTTCCAGGAAGACATGATGCTCAAAGAACAATATGAATCACTTGCGCGAGACAATACCGTTCTGAAACGTGCAGTAGCCATTCAGCATGAACGCCAGAAAGAACACGATGATAAGACTCGAGAAGTTCAGTATTTGAAGCAGCTGGTCTCACAGTATCAGCAGCAAGTAACAACTCTGGAGGTTGGACAAAAAAAGAGACCCTTTACTCCGTATTATTATTATTACTAGCAGTACATATACATATATTCAGATGCAGGCTGCCATTGTATTCTCCTAATGTAGAATGAAATTGAAATGCGGGAAGATACATAATTTAGCTCTTACTCCATATCATATGTCTTCCTGTGCGTGTCATTTGTGTGCAGGTGAACAATTACGCATTGAAGATGCATTTGCAGCAGGCTCAGCAGCAAGGCAACTCCTTCCTCGGACGCTTCCATCCAGATGTCTTTTAACCCATACATATACACACACAACCCATACATGCATACATACTCAGAGACTTAGAATGAGAAGTTGGTAATAAACATGCTCTGCTAGCTCTCTTCATTTGTGTGCTTGAAATATGAATTGTTGTAACTTTTGTGTCTGCTGGGCTGGGGTGGTTTTGTTGATGATATGCCATCACATAAGCTTTGAATATTGACAGTCTTTATAATGCTATATATGGTTTTGGTTCGGTGTGAGGTTTTATGTTTGTGTGTTGTTAGCCTTTGTCATTATCGACTTGGCGTTTTTACCTTCTCAATAGTTTGTTACAATAGTTTTGGTGTTTTTCCTTGTTACTCAAAATGTCTTGGATTTGTGTTGTTTTAGCTAATAAGGTGTATCTTTTTGGTATGTGCGATTTTGTTTTGGTTTTTTTTGGATATTGTCTTTCTTTGTTTGTACTTGTTTCAATCACTTCGTACAGCTGAAATGAGTTCTTGGCACCAGTTACACAATACTACGGATTACTCACTAACCAAAAGAGTCAAATAAATTGAATTATAAAATTAAAGTCGGTGAAGTAAATGAAAGTCTTTTTAAAAAGTTTTTTTGAAGCCTATAACGAATCTTTATATCATGCATTCAAATATATCGGAGTACAATATTTTTTGTACAATGGCACAAATATTTAGTTTTTTAAAAATAGAATACTCATTTTTCACATTTATTTATTTAAGTACATATTCAAAACATGTAATTACAAAATAGATGTATGTTTATTTGAATTCTACATAATACTCATTACGTTTATACAGAACATGTATTTACGAATAACAAAATACAAAGAAAAAATTTAAAAATATGCAAAATGAGTACTTAGTTACTCTTAAATGAATATTCGCTACGGATATACAAAAAATACACTACTTCTGGCTGTACCATATATATTGCCGCCTATATATAAAAAGAATATACCAAAATGTATTATTTTAACTTTTTAAACACGATAGCAAAAACCTCTAACAAAGGTTATAAAAGCTAATCCAATATAGACATTTTTTGTATGAAAATATTCGAACACATGAGAATAACCAACCTAGACCATAACAAGACAAATCTATTTTTTGATTTTATGAACGATATAATATCTTCAATATTAGAACAATAAAGCATATTTATGTATAAATCTATATGTATAAACATAATTAAATTGGGAGTTCCAAAGTGATAAAAGTGAGTGTTTATAAAATAAATTTGACAAAGAAACAAACCATCGAGCGTGGCAACGCTCAAACCGTCATGCACGTATTCACCAACCATGTGTGGTCCAACGTCTGCGGCATTGATGTACTCGAACACGCATCATCCTCAAGGTACTAGGCGAAAACAACATCATGCATTGCTAACGACTAAAGTCTTTCCCTTCGAACTTGTCTAATCTTGAGAACTTGTTCATTGTGTTCTCATGAATTTGCCACCTATCATCTTCACGTTGTTAGGGAATAATAACTTTAATCTTGTTGGAAATCCAAGAGAGATAGTAACGCTGCGTAGAAGCATGTGTAGAACGGTATATGAATGAACGTGAAGAAACATGGTAGACTATACAAATCGCGTGATCGCTTTCAGAATAAAGACGTTAGTACCTAGAACGAGTATGGAACTTTTGTCGTTACTGAATCATACATTGGGCTCCATATTTATAGAGCACAAACTAATCGGACACGCTTGTTGACGAAACAACACAATCTTCCGTAGAAGATTCGAATGTTTGGCCACAACATTTGAATGTATGGAGCAGTTGTGCTAAAAATATTGTTTCAGCGGTTTTCTGCAATAACTATTCGGTCTTGTCACGAAATATTCGAGTGTTTGGGTTTAGACATTCCAAAGGATTTCTGTAAAGCAATAATGTCCAAAATAAAATTTTCCCGACGTGAGCCCAACCTTAACTAGAGATTGCCACCCCTTGGACCCCGCTACAAATTTATAATATCGTTGAACGAGGCCGGGTGCACTCTGCACCACGCAACTCGCTAACAACGCATATGAAATTCTCATTTGATGTAAATAAAATTTAATTACACAAAGTAGCTGATGACACTAAAATCATCGATATTTTATTATGCCAAATGTTATTCAATTTGTGTACTAATTTTCATTGCTAATTTAATAATATAAAGCGATCATGTCTTTTTTTGTTTTGTACTCCCTCCGTTCTCAAAAACACTTTCTCTTTCATTTTTTTCACTTCCAACAAAACACTTCCCCTTTCTATTAAAAAACCACTTTTACCCTTACTTTTTCATACCCTACCTATCACATCATACTTTTTCTCTAATAATACATCCATCACATCTTACTTTTACCCATCACATCAGGGGCAAAATTGGAAGTCAACTATAATTTTACACTTTCTTAATTTGCCTTATTTTCAAAGTGGGAAGAGTTTTCCCAAACGGAGGGAGTAGAACTTTAATATTATTTTTTAAAGTTTAGGTTTGATTTTTGAAATTTTTACATCTATAATAAAATAAAATGAATTGAACGTAAAGTTGATCAGAATTCGTAATTCGCAATGGAATATTCAAATTCGGAAGGAGAGAGTTTTAAAAGAGTAAAACTAAATGATTAAACCATTGTGAAGTGAAATTCATATTAGCTAATAGAAAAAAGCTAGAAGTACACCCAATTTGTACTTGTATTTTAAATGTTCTGTATATTACAGACACATATAGACAATAATTATCTGCGAGATATATAGACATTTGTTGTTTGTGTGTTTGTGATATACTTAGGTCATGTTATTTTGAATTGGAAAAATAAACCGTTAGCATTTTTCAACCCCTTCTTATTTCTTTCAACTCCTTCCAGTTCTTTCCAACTATTTCTAGTTTCTTCTAACAGCGATTTAAATATATATATATATATATATATATATATATATATATATATATATATATGTATATATGATGAATATACAATAATACTATATATCCACGTTTATCACATATCACCTCAAACATGGACAAGGATGAATATTTATATCCAAAATTAGAATTTTCTTACATATTTATTTGAAAGATTTTTTAATTGAATGATTTTTTAACATTTTAATTCTTCCAATATTTTCCAACTCCGTCCAATTTTTTTAAAAAATTCAATTTCTTCTAACTCTTTCTAGCTTTTTTGACATTCAACTTTAAAATTTTAACTCAGAAGAACAGGATCTCAGTGTGCAAGTTAGGGTATAATGTGTACCCTAGCAAACATGTCTTTTATCCTTTTGAATTAGAGAGATTCTTATATGGTCCCAAAGTCTACATTTAAAATGTACTACTTACATTTTTCATGAATTTTCATATTGATATTTTATATTTTGTAAAAATTTCATTTTTTATACTATAAATACACTAAGGTTCTTATAGATTCTAAAAAATTTGTAACTAATAGCAAATCATGTAGGTTGTCTTGTCACATCGCCTTTGCCGAGCAGTGTGTGGTGCATCTTCAAAGTTCAATATGGATATGGGTGTGACGGTGGTGCGACGACCACCAACTGCCGCCGCCAGTAAGCACCCTATCATATTCTCTCCGATCGCCGCAGCTGACAAACCTGGCCTTCGCATACCATACCGCCACCCGAGAGCAGCGACGCCGATCAGCATATCTCGAGCATCGGATCCCAAACGAGAGGCTCCGAATCCCGAATCGGGTCGCCGACGAAACCCTGCCTTCGTTCCCCAGGTTACAGATCTGTATACGCCATGGTTTGTTAATTCTGCATGAACTTGATATTTCCGTCGATTGATCATCTAAAGCGTGAAATTGAGCAGGAGGATTTGGAGTATTTGGTGAAATTGGGTGCCGGATCGGTGGTGGCCGCAGCTGCAATCAAGTACGGAAGCATAGTGTTTCCGGCGGCCACTAGCCCTAATTTAGCCGAAGCCACGGCCATCATCACTGCTCCGGTCATTGTTGCCATCGCGTTGCTCATCAAGCAGAGTCGAGCCCATTAGGGGTGGCATTGGGAGTGGGGTGGGTTTGGTTTTGACGGTTCGATTTTTACCCAAAATGGAAGGTAAGTTGGTGGTTCGGTTCGGTTCGGTTTTGCATTAAAAATATGTAAACCGTTGGTTATTCGGTTCGGTTTTAAGCGGTTTTATTTTGATTTTTTTCGGTTTTTTCGGTTTTTAAAAGTAAATACTTATAAACATTAAAAATTGTATAAATACGAACTCGACGAAGCAATAACAATTCGTAAGTTTGGGTTTGGTTTTTTGCTTGAATTTTACACACAAAAAAAGCCGAGCGGAAGGGTAGTGTTTTATTCGGTTCAATTTTACATACAAAATATTCCAGGGTATGTGTCAAGTGCTTAACAAACATCTAGGAGATTCCAAATAATCCTAAAGATATCGTATCTAAAATCAACTACAAAGAATTTATGTTTTTTTAATATAATACTTTCATTTACATTATAGCATTAAATTTTTTTTATGTAAATATGTTAACTAATATTAATTTTTAATATTATATAATTCTATATTAGAATTAGTTATTGGTGTTTATATTCTTAGATTTTTTAGAACTTATAATATGGTTGAAATATTTAATTAATAGTTAAGAAAAAAACTTTAATCGACTAGTAATATATTTGCATTTTTGTTTATATGATTTTTATACATATCACATATACTAATACAAATAAAAAGAAGCATATAAATAAATTCGGTTTATTCGGTTCTGTTCGGTTTTTCAAAGTAAAAACCAAAACGGAATTAAACAATAACGGTTCGGTTCGGTTTTTTTACATTTCAGTTTTTTTGGTTATAGTCATGTACATTACTAAAAAATATAGTAATGTGCACATGTACAATGTCACATTACAACCACATTACTACAATGTGAAGTCCTATTTCAGAAAAAAATATGAAAGTCCTATTTTGATATTTTTTTCTATGTTTTAGTCCTATTTATGCTGATTTTTAAAAAATTATCTAATAGCAGGGTTTAAGTGTAGTGTTTTCCATGTTAATCTACACTATTAACTTTGACCATTATTCAATGATTTTATTGTTGTAATATTAGGGCAAAAATGTAGAGATATAATAATGGAGAACTATATATATTCTTGTTTTCTTTATCTAAGGTTTTTATTTATATGTACTGGTTATTTTAGAAAATGTCATTTGTCATATTGATTACAATGATGTAAAAACTTACCTATTGCACCTATAACCATAAACAGATTCGCAGTTATCATTTAGATACTTTTATTAACATATTCATCCTTATATGCGTGATTGTTGTCTACCGAGTGGGAAAAAAATCATATTCAAGGGAAAAATTAAAAAAAGAACACTTAATCATATTGTATTTATGTTCTTCCCATCAATATAACACACTTCTTTATCTCGACACGTGCCAAATGTTGCACGTTAATCTTTGAATTTCTTCGAGAGCAATGACTTTGTAAATAGATCAACTGGATTTTCAAAAGATTTGGTTTGAGGGATGCTAATCTTCCTTTCTTTCTCTGGGTCATGTATATGATTTTTTTGGTGACATGTGTTTCGTTCTATCTCATTTGATGTATCCCTCTTTCACCTGAGCGATGCATGCCGTAATGTCTTCATAGATCACAAACTCAAAGTAGGATTAAGAGGACGATTTCAACATTCATGCTGTATGCTTTGAATCATGGATTGCAACGGCACATATTCATGTCTGAGCTTAATAGTCATGAACTCGACATAATTTGATGGTGTGGCATTCAAAGTTTGTTTCATTGATCTTCATGAGATCACGGTATCACCATAAGTAAACAAATATCATTGTCTTTGATTTTTCCATGCGTGGATCTCACAAGTATGCGACGTGTGCATATCTTGTCAAAGTGGCATTTGAACGTGCATTTGAACATGAGAAATTTACCTAAATAGGACTAAAACATAATGACTTTTCCAATATAGGAACATATGTTTTTATTTCCCAATGTAGGACTTTTGGTCATTATCAAGTAGTCATTATTCAACTAAATGTCTATCATTACTAGGCATTATTTCTTCCACTAGGTCATTATTAAGTCCTATTTAGGGAATAAAAAAGTTTAAGTCCTACATTAGGAAATTCATTATGCTTTAGTCCTATTTAGTGCAAATTTCACTTTGAACATTTGTGGTAGAATAGACCAAGATCGACCATACCACAAACATAATGAAATTTGTGTTTCCCATCATTCCAATGCCGCCTAGTTGGGGATGAACTATGTCTAGCCAATAAGTTTATGAAAATACAATATTTGATCACGTATTGTCGGTTAAATGCATCAGAAGCACTTGAATAAGGAAAAATGAAGTACTTCAATGCCAAAAAATTCATTATCGTCACAAGGACATAAGGATCATCATGCACGTCGAGAGAGCAAACCACCATTGAAGAGGTTAATGGGCAAGTGTATCCATGTAAAATCTCTTCAAAATTTTCATGGTGTAATTTGATTGATGAACAAATTTAACAAAATGTTACAACATATTAATAGGTAAATGCTACATGTACATCACACTTACACCAAACCTTACACTTTGAACTACATAGACAAATCTTGTCTCTCACACACACTATTATAAACAAACAAAATATGTCGGTGTAGCTCAAAATTATAAATATGGTTCAACTTTGGTGTAAATGTCGTGTGCATGCAGCATTTTCCATATTAATACCAGTGCTAGCTAGGCTGATCAGAACAAGATGTGGATCTATAAGATGCAGATCTATAAGCAGTTAAATTCCATATTTCCAGATAAATCCAACAAGTGTACTTATGTAAGCAAAAGGAGTGCATTAGCTAAGAGTTGAAAAAACATGTGATGTTAGTTCACATATAGCTAGGGATCGCCTGACATGATATCAGCTGGAACCGGGGTCAAGCACGGGGATTCGGCAATGGAGACTAATTGATTTGTCCGTTTGTCGCGTACCTGGAATGAAGAATTGAAATATCAAGGTCAAGCAACCACCTTGAGGAGAGATCCCATAGAAAGCACAGTCAGGCTTAGCCAAGTGACACTGAAGAGACTTGAAGAAGTGCTTCACGCTAACGTGCACCATCATGCCATCCCCCTTTTGGACTGCCATCCGCGCTCGGGATTGGGCCGTCAAATCTTGGTCCCATGATGGAACCGCCGCTTGTTCACCAATGACCAGTAGCTTCCTGAACTCGGCACCCAGGGTTATCAAAGTGGTAGAGATTTGGAGGTGGAGATCCCCGTATTTGCTAATGCAGACACTTAGCACGTCTCCTACGTGCTTCATCCTGTCCACAAAGTTCTGTAACTGGTTCATGTCCGGGACTTGAACAAGAGTGGGGGGCAAATCTTGAGCTCCATCAAGGGCTGCTTGCAGCTCCACCACATCCCCTCTAGACAAAGGCTTAGAGATGGGAACATCTTGAATCACAGCAGATCTGTAGCCTTTGGTCTCGAAAGTGAGAAAGGGCATAGGCTGTTGAGAATGAGGAGGAAGCTTCTTCACCAGCTTGATTTGAAGGCGGCTAGGGGTATTCCCGCCAGAGAACTCTGTGTAGATACTGATGACACTGCGAAGGGCACGCTGGAGGAGGGTAAGGTCAATGGCAAAGGCGATGCGATCGTCGTTCTGGCTAGAGATCCTGTACTCATCAAAGAGCGCTTCTTTGCGGAATTGAGCAATGGAATGGATGCCGTCGCTGTTAAGGAGGTTGTGAAGGAAAAAAGCATGGTCTCGGGTTAGGTAGAGATGGCAGACTTTCCCCATCTTTTCAAGGGCCGGTAGGAACCTCTTCTCTAACAGGTTCACGCCATTATCGGTGAGATAAGCCTTGAACTTCATTGGGTTCGGTGAACGCTGCTACAGAGTCAGGAAAAAGATCAGGTCAGAAATTCAGAGTTGATTGAAACAAATTGGTGAGATTTCAAATTTTTAGAAGAAAAGAAGATTTGCGGGCTGGGCATTTCATCGAACAGTTTCAGTGCATTGTGTCCAGCATACAGAATTCAATTCACGGCCAGATTATGAAAACTCAGATCATAAATAGATGGCGAGATTGGGAGGGATTAAACAAATTTAGGTAATTTAACGGCAATCCATGCAGATACAAACGAATAAGGAGAGAAAATACCAGTTCGATCAATGCTATCTTTTGAAGTTCTACTTGAGATTCATATTGCGTTAGATGAAAACGGAGGCGGTAAATTTTAAAACTGGCTCTTGCACTGTTGGCGGTTTGTGTAAAAGTCAAGAGCTTTCTCCTCAATTTCTCTTTACCTGATTGATTTTTATACGATTAAATTTTGATCTAATTTAATTGTAATTATATTTAAAGTTGTTATTTGTTTGATCTGATTCTAGTGAAAATAAATAGGGAGTAATTAGTAAAAATAATATGTTGGAGAGAAAAAACTTCTAAATTAAATCTCATTAAAGCACGTAGAACGGTAGAAGATGTGCTAATGATGTAGGGAGTAACAAAGTAACTATTAAACTGAATACAAAAAAATAAATTATTGTGATTTCGTTTCGGTTTTGGTTTTGGACTTTCAAAATTGAACTAAACCTTTTTAAAATACAGTATACTCTTTACCTAAAAAACAAAGTATACTTCTTAACAAAAAATAAAGTATACTGAGAATATGTGAAAAATATTTTGTTCAATTGCATTTCTTTTTTCTATCTTTTATTCATATACTTCATATTATTATTCTTTTTTTGGTCAAACATTTTTTTGTTAGTGATTTTTTCAATAAATATTACTCCCTCCGTCCCAATTTAAATAGTCTGTTTCGATTTACGATGTTTGACGAGAGTTATTTTTAAATCATTTTATATAAAAAATGGTGTAGTATTAAAAATTAAAATTATATATTTAAAAACTACATTAAAAGATCTACAAAATTAGTGGTGACATGAATATATTATTCTATTAAATAACTAACAAAAATTAGGAAACCAAGTGAATGAAGTTTGATTATGTGAGTAGTAACTAAATTGCTTCAAAATGCAGTTGAAGGGAATAACTAAATTGCTTCAAAAAATTCAAGAAAATAAAAAGTATAAATATTTTGTTATTTCATTTCAAGAGGTTATCTTTTCAAAAATTTGATTCGAAGATCGAGTTTGCTTTGTCATTATACTAACATTTTGAAAAGTTGATATATTTTTTAAAAGTTACTTTTTGTTGTATTTATAAGGTTTAGTTGCTCGATTTAATAGTTACTTTGTTACGTCTTTTTTTACGTCATTAAAAAAGTTAAAATATTTTTTTACAAAAAATTGTCTTACTTTGAGAACATTCCCATGGCCAAAATAGAAGGGTCAATATATTTTGTACCCTAAAAAGTATCGAATAATTATACTCCACCCTCACTTCTAAGAAATACACCTCATGTTTGATTTCTTTATTTACACCTCATGTTTGATTTCTTTTATTTACACCTCATGTTTGATTTCTTTATCTAAAACTAAAAAAATCTCAAGCAACTTAATTTGTTCAAATAAATAATGAAAGAAAATGACATCTTTAAATATACAAAAGTAAAATGAAAATATGAATAGTGCAAGTTTCCTGCCTAAACACATTGGGCACGGTTTGGGCATTTGATTTCGGGTATCAGATTGGGCAAAGAAGATAATTGATCCAAATGGGCAAAGGGTTTTTTGGTTGGACTAATGGGTCTTTGGTACCCCAAAGACCCATTTGGGTCTAATGGTCAATTTACTTTAATTCTCACACACCCCAACGTAAAATCATCATTAATTTCTCCCCACAACCCATGTTCAAATTTAATATTTATGAATCCTTGCCCAATACTTTCAATTCATTTCTCCACCTCTAAAGCTTTTGAAAATTTCATCTTTGCAATATGGCTCCAAACCGTGTTTTCCCTGTTCTCTTTACCAATCTTGGTGAGCTCGAAAACGACCATAACAACATTGCTATCCACGTACGAGCTATTCGTGTCTATCACGTCTTGCCTTTTAGAAGAAATATTAAATCCATGGAGGTGGTCTTTCATGACGATGAGGTATATGTAAACTTTGTTTAAATCCTAATAATTCGAGTTATTTTTTAAAGTTATGCACTCAAACAAGAAACTGTTTTCAAATCTTTTTTTGAAATGTTCTAATTGCCCACCATATTTTAAACATGCTAACCGTCTTTCTTGACGTGTGGCTTGAGCCACGAACCATTTAACGTAAAGTATGGAGTTTTTAAGCATACTAAATTTTCGTGACTCTCTATGACTTAAATATCTTGATTTAAAAGAACTGAAAGATCCTTCTATTTTGATTCTACTAAAAAAGTTTTTAAAAGAAAGGTAAAAATACTTTTATTAAAACAAATGCATTGATAGTGTAAATAATTTTCAAATTCATTGGACATATCAAGCAGCATTGATATACGAAATTTTAAATTAACAAGCCATTTCGGATGTGACTTAAAGTATAAGTAATTGATTATATTATTTGAGCATTGATATACGAAATATTAAATGAAAAAGCATTAATATACAAAATATTAAATGAAGAAGTCATTTCGGATGTGACTTAAAGTATAAGTAATTGAGTATATTCTCTGAGCATTGATATACAAAATATTAAATGAAGAAGCATTGATATACGAAATATTAAATGAAGAAGCCATTTCGGATGTGACTTAAAGTATATGTAATTGATTATATTCTTTGAACATTGTTATAAGAAATATTAAATGAAGAAGCATTGATATACGAAATATTAATTAAAGAAGCTATTTCGGATGTGACTTAAAGTATAAACAATTGATTATTGGCTTTGAGCCACACACCCAAACCACATTAATGGTGTAAACAATTTTCAAAATTGTTAGACATATCAAGGAGCATTGATATACGAAGTACTCCGTATTAAATTAACAAGACATTTCGGATGTGACTTAAAGTATAGGTAATTGATTATACGAAATATTAAATGAAGAAGCATTGATATACGAAATATTAAATGAAGAAGCCATTTCAGATATTTTTAGTTAAAATGGTTGTATAGTATAAATACTCCCTCCGTCCGGATATGTTCTTCACATTTGACTTTTCTTGGTCAAAATTTGCAAACTTTGACTACGTTTTGTGAAAAAAAACACATTGTATTATGATATAAATTTAATAGCAATATATTCATAATGAAACATAGTTTTCAAATATCACATTTCTATAAAATATATCTATGTATAAATATAGATATTCATGGTCAAAACACAATATTGGAAACCATAAAAAGTCAAATGAGAAGAATATTTTCGGACGGAGGGAGTATTTAATAATAAAAATTCATGTGGATCATATAATAAATTGTATTTTTATAATTTTTTTGATTTTTGATGTAAGAGAGTGGATGAGTGAAAAGAAAGGTTGTTTAATGGGAGAGAGGTGGGAGTAGTCCACAGTCCACACTTTACTTCATGGGGTGCTCTTAGGGAATACCATACGGCAGAGCGTTAGGACCCCCGTTTGCCTGGCAATATCTTTTCAATTGGTATTCAAAAATTTCACCTACCGCCGGGCTAGCTGAAGCCTTCAACAAACACGACTCCATGAGCTCCCACGCCAATCTAAGTGACCGGCGCGTGGGCCTCGTCTACGACGACCGGATGTGTAAGCACACAACCCCGGATGGCGAGGATCATCCCGAGAAACCCGATCGGATTCGAGCAATCTGGAACCGGCTCCAGTCTTCCGGCATCGCTAAGAGGTTGTTTATAGCTACTAACATGGTGTTACCGTTCTTGTTTTTTTAGAATATTGATTTTTTCATAATCACCGTATTTGATTGAAGCTATAAAGCTGCTTTGATAAATTGCTTACCCTCACAGAAATGTGTGTTTTCATTTATATGCCAGTGATATTCAAACCAAAGTTTAAGAAACCTACCCATAACTCAACTAGTAGGGTTGCTCGTTAGCGGTTTGCCAGGTTTAAAGGAGAATGGATACTATACAACCGGGTGTACTTAGAGCCGGGTACATCCGGCAAATGTTAATTTTGAGTAAACGTAGTGTTCATTCTGAAACAACGTAGTGTTTATTTTCACACATTTGTTCATTACTTCATTTTGCTTCCGAGTAGGGGCAAGGTCTGCCTACACACACCCCCCCAGACCCTACTGTAGTGGGATCCAACTGGGTTGTTGTTGTTGTTGTTCATTACTTCATTTACGAACAACGTAGTGTTCATTATGAAACAGTGTACTGTTCAAACAACGTAGTCCTCATTCTCAAATAACGTAGTGTTCATTCTTATTTCTTAAACAAAGTAGCGTGCATACCACCCTGTTAAGTAAAAAATCATCGAAGCTGTTTGTCAAGGAAATTGCAACCTCCTCCTTCGACGCTAAATCAGGCATCTAGGGAAGGCCCTTTTGGTCACCAAATCAAGGAAACAAAATCAGGGCTCGTTTGTTCTCACATCGCAACCTATTCTCACTTCACTAGGGTTCTGCACTCGCAGCAGGATATCGCCCATTCAATCGACAATGCTAAGCGCCCCTCCGCATCTGTGCTTGTTGATCATTGCCGCCGGGCTTCACTTTGTCGCACCTAGGGTTTGGCCTCCCCTTCGATCGATGCAATGCCACGGGCCAATTTGAAGTAAGTTGTATCGGAAAAATTGTACAACCGGAGGTACCATAGAATTTTTGGTTTAAACTTTAAAGGTATAGTATGCATTTCCAATAATGTACTTGTTGCAATGAGATTATCTTGCTACAATTGAAGAGAAGTATGGCTTCTCTCTCAGGGACGAGACGAAACTAAAGAGTTAGGGAAGAGAGAGAAACAGAAAGAAGATATTTTGATGAAGAAGTCTTGTATTATTTCATGATTAGTCTCAAATTACATGATGATTGTATTTATAGACACAATTAGGAAGCCGCATCATCTACAACCCTTAACTACTATGACCACTTCTAACAACTATATAAGTACTCCCTTCTTGGCTTCTTCCCATTTTTAATTTCTCATTCTTTTGTCAACGCTCCAACTACGAAATTCTTGTGGTTCATATATTTTGAGTAAATATCTATAGATATCTTCATGTTTTCTCAAACTCTGTAATAAAGAAAATGACAAAGTATTCATAACAAACATTGAAAAGGATTGGTGAGTCAAATTAAAATCTTGCAGTTTTTTTCTTGATTAAAGTAGAATTAAAAAGATAAGTTTTATTGAATATGAGATCTAAGAAACTTGGCTTCCTTAAAGTGAATTTCGAAAAGCCAATTTTAATTTAAAGGAAGATAAAAAAAATTGTTATTTGTTGAAGCAGAAATTTAAATAATCAGCAAAAAATTGAGACCAACAGGGAAACGAATCAACTGATTGGACTGGTTTTTAGCTGATTTGGACATGGCGGCACTTCTTATTTTGATGTCTTGTTATCTAGCCTGAGTGACAATGCCATTCCATGAGTTAATGATCCAACTATTTTTACGGGGTGGTCCGGTTTGTGTGCTCGAATCTATAGTTAGAACACATAACTAAGAGATGAGAGAAGTAAGAACTTCTAGCCTATTCTCTCAAAGAGAAAGAAAATTCATTGATTCAACTGCACCGACGAATTCATGGTGGAAGAGAGCATTAAGAAGACATGCTGGAAGGGAGCATTCATAGGAAACATATTTCATCCAAAGTTCCCATGTGCAATGGCAACAAAAAAAATGATGGGTATTTAATCTCCATAATGATCGGGTCCAACCTAAGTGTTACAATAAGGTTTATAACTCAATTAATTAACCCCAACAGGAACAACAACAAAATGCTGAAACATAAGTCTTAATTCAACACACCATGTTATAGAAGATTATTAACAAATCTTGCAGAAGGACTAGGTTTCCATAGGGAGTGCAGTGCCCATCTTTCATGCTCAATGAACAACGTAGTGAGTTCTTACTATTTTTTTAGTTGTAGCATGATTATCACTCTTATCAAGGAAGTGGTTACCACTCATATTAAGAACAATTAAATATGTGTATTATATTTCTCTAGAGGGGAGGGAAATAATATGAACCATACACAACTTTCCTTGAATATCAGGAGTCTAATTTTCTTACAGTAAAAAATAGCTAATCAACAACCTTTATTTGAATGAAACAAGCAAATGCTGATCACAACCTAGATAGACTAGAAGTGAAATTATTTCTTAGTTTGAAATTGTTTCTTAGTTGAACGTAAAAAGGAGGCATATAGATGTCCGTAATTGTTTGAATGAGCGTACCTACGAATTTAATATTACAAACAGGGTCAGCTGATCAATAAATGAGACTAAACAATTAAAATAAATATAACTAAATGTTGCATGGTATGCAAGCTTCAAAGTTAACGTTCTATAGCCCTACCGAGCCCTAGGCTACCCACCCCGCATTCATGGTGCTAAACTTGAATATTCAAATAAAGAGGTTCGTTGTTAAAAAAGTTTATTGTGCAATTATTTTACTTTGCTTTTTTAATGTTTGTGTCGTCTTAGCTCCAACTTGTAGATTCCTGATTTATTATTTCTTTTGATACATGATGCCAATCTGTAAATTTTATTTAAGAAATATTGTATACACTTTGGTTCAACATCAATATTTCCTTTCTTATACCACTTCTAGATGTTTAATCTTTGATGCAAAAGAAGCTGAAGATAAGAACATAGCTCTTGTTCACTCAAAATTTCACACGGAGTTTATTAAAAGTATAAGCTCCCGAAAGTTGGCTCCACGAAGAAATTTGATTGCTGCTCAATTTAATTCCATATATTTCAATGAAGGGTCGTCGGAGTCAGCTTATCTTGCTGCAGGGTCTGTTATAAAGGTATTAATTCATTTTGCATTTCATAGTGTATTTAAATTTCCAGCATCTTTTCTATTGACATACTCCCTATCAATTTTACTCTTTGGCTTTATGGAATTAAAGAAAAGTGTTGAAAAAGTAAAGGGAGTGATTGAAATTTGTTAAGGAAACGAGACTAAGAGAGAAATGTTTTGAAGAATGTATTCCTTTCCTTGAAAGCAAATGAGAGAAATGAAGTTTATTTTGGGATGTAACAACAACAACCTAGTTGGATCCCACAAAAGTAGGGTATGGGGAGGGTGTGTGTACGCAGACCTTGCCCCTACTCGAAAGTAGAGAGGTTATTTCCAAGAGGCCCCCGGATGAACCTACTTGAGATGTAAGAAAAGGAAAACTTGTTGTTAATTGCGAGACAGAGCGAGGGCGTAGATGACAATGCAGGACACTTACCTTTTAGGGTGGGGTTAGTTGTGTGTAAAAATAACTCTACGCAATCACCATAACATGTCATTCATATTAGACTAAAATGTGTTTTTACATATTCATGAGTTAGTTGCTTGGGTTCACGAGAAAGGAGCATGGGAGTCTGCTCGGAGGCCAATGACATGTGGGATAGGATTGCAAATTGCATCCGGGAAGCTGCGCGAGAAGTGCTTGGAGTGAGCAGTGGTACTAGGACCCGGGATAAAGGTGACTGGCGGTGAAGAAATGTGGTTCGTAGTAAGGTCGAAGCTAAGAAGGTAGCTTATAAAAGGTTTGTAGAATGTAGTGATGAGGTGGCTAGGGTGTCCCTTTGAGAAGAGTATAAAGCTGCATGTAACAAAGTTAAGTTAGTGGATACAACAGCGAAGAATGCAGAGTGTTGGGCGGTTCAGATAGGATGAAAGGTTTCAGAAAGGATGAAAGGTAGCTTCTATCGATCTGTAGTGAGACCGAATATGCTTTATGGTGCGGAGTGTTGGGCGGTTAAGATAGCTCACATCCGTCAAATGCATGTGGCTGAGATGCGTATGTTGCGGTGGATGTGCGGCCATACGATGTTAGATAGGATCTGGAATGAGGTTATCCAGGGACGTGTCGGCGTGGCACCTATGGAGGATAAACTCCGCGAGGCTAGGTTGAGATGGTTTGGCCATGTGAAGCTGTGTGAGCCTGAGGCTCCGGTGCGGAGATGCAAGAGGCTTACGATAGTAGGTGGGTCTCGGGGAAGGGGTAGACCAAGGAAAAATTGGAAGGAAGTTATTAGGCAGAACTTACGACTTCTAGCTCTTACCGAGGATATGACCTTAGATTAGAACGTTTGGAGATCTAGGATTATGGTTGTTGGCTAGTTGTTTAGACCAGAGTGGTAGTTTAGTTCTTGTCCGTGTGTGTTTGGTTAGTGGGGGGTCTTTCTTCTTATGAGTGTGTACCTTTTGTCTTTGTGTGCTCATCTTACCCCTTGTTTGCTCTATTACCTTTGTTGTACTATCGGTTCTTTGTGTTTGAAAAAGCCTATGTGTTTGAAACTAAGGTCAAAAAAGCGGGGCCTCTAAGTAAAAGGTTAAAGATATATAAAAGGATAAATTGCAAAATGTTCAAATTAGATAAGTGAACAATATTTTCCGAAAGAGCTATATAAGGAAAGAAGATTTTACAAAATGGGACAAGTCTGATTCTATGTCTGATTTTCTGGAGTGGGTGTCTGTCACTCCAGCGGGTATATGTGATGTGTAACTTATGGATGCTATGTATTATTATAAATCTGTTTTCCTTTCAAAAAAAAATGGGACAAAGGGATTATTGTTGTTGTTGCGGTCGTTTTTATGACTGCTGCAGTTTCTGTACTGTTTATTGATGTTGCCAACAAGCTAACAATTGATAGTATCTTTTAGTGGCAATTTTCATTGATTCTTTGAATGCAGGCTGCTGAAAAAGTTGCCAATGGAGAACTGGAGTCTAGCTTTGCTATTGTCAGGCCTCCTGGACATCATGCAGAAGAGAATGAGCCCATGGGATTTTGCCTGTACAATAATGTTGCTATTGCAGCAAGTTACTTACTGAATGAACGTGTAAAGAGCGAGTTTCATTTTGCAACTTTAATTACCAAATATCTTTTCTCTCAGTTTTTTTGTTAAAGTATCATTTCCACATTTCTGTATGCATTAACTTCATCTTTACTTACTACACTGCAGAGAGATTTGGGCATTAACAAAATTTTGATTGTTGATTGGGATGTTCACCATGGAAATGGCACTCAAAAGACATTTTGGAAGGATCCACGTGTCCTTTTCTTTTCTGTTCATAGGTATTTAACCAATTTTTCAATTTTTCCGTGTATATATTAAATTAGAAGTAAATGTATTATCATGCAGTTATCATAGAAATGACCTATGCGAGCCCGGTAATTTTTGAGGCCTATGTCAACATTTTGCAACAACAAACCCAATATAATCCCAACTCCATTGGGGTCTAGGACACCCCTAGGAGGTCAAGATGTACACAATATTACCCTGGTAAAAAAATCAAGTTATTTTTTAGGGTGAGATGTAAATGTTATTGAAACCCAAATGCAAAGAATACAAGAATAAACAGGCATACCCGAGTCAACAAACATAGGCACACAGTCCTTATAGTATAGGTCAGGCATGCAGGTGTAAGATGGCAAATCAAGAAACCAAGGCTCACAAGCCAACAACAGAATAAAGGCACGCCGGCCAAGACCAAGCATAAACACAATGTTCAAAACCAAAACACAGTGACAAAACATAAGCACAATGTCCAAAACCAAAATACAGTGCTCACAAGCACAAACTAGGCCACCAGCAGCAACGAAAACACCAATTGTCAAAGCTAAGTGCCCAGAGGCTGACCAACCAAAGCCCACGAGCAAATAAGAATTAAGCAGAATCAAAAGCCAACCACAAGACCATGTGCAAAAGCAAGTAGTATGAACCAAACTCTGGAGCCAAAACCAGTAGTCGAGGCCGCAGCCCAGGGACACCAAAGCGCAACGACCACAACACAACCCAAAGTACAGGGTCCAGAACATAGGCACAAGTCTAAGCAATTCCATTGTGGTTGGAGCATACAATACACGATCTGAGTCAAGCCCAAAGTTCACAGGCTACAAGGATTGGCCAGTGAGACCCCAATAGCAGAAAGAGGCACCCTCATGGAGACAAAGCCGGGGTAAGCCGGCTAGGGCCCCCAGGGACTAGAGACTAGAAACTGGAAAGCAGGCACACTAAGATTAGAGGTGAGAAGTTACAGCCCAAAGCACGTAGGTCACAATCAAACGGCAAACTACGGGGGCGAGACCAAGTCAAAGCAGTATCCATAGGTGATTGGAGCCGGCCTGCAAGAACATAAACAGGACAACCCAACCCCAAACACGCCCACATACAACCCACCAAAGAGAACCAGAGGAGGGAAGAGAGGAAGAGGAAGTAGAAGAAAGAAGAGAGAAGAAGATGAAGAGGAGGAAGGAGAAGTTATTGCCTCCACTCAGAATCGAACTCGTGACCTCTTATTTGGGAGATTCATGCTGATGCCGCTGGACAACAAGCTAAAACATGGTCAAAACTATTCTTTTAGCTCCATTTTAAATGGACACCCTAGGTCAGCCATATAACTTGGAATTTGATCACAATGTGCTATCTCAGTGCCCTTCAATTCTTCCTTCAAATAGGACAAGCAGACGACTTTATTTTATAATCTGACGTCTATGCTTTCGATAAAAATGCCATTTCTAAATTCCTCAAAACTCCACCCAATTGTTAACAGGTATGAATTTGGGAGCTTCTATCCAGCCGGTGATGATGGGTCTCATTTGATGATTGGAGAAGGGTCAGGAGCAGGATATAACATAAATGTGCCTTGGGAGAGTGGTTGTTGTGGTGATGCAGACTATCTTGCAGCTTGGGACCATATATTAATTCCTGTAGCAAAAAGCTTCTGTCCTGATCTGGTCATTGTCTCTGCTGGATTTGATGCTGGTTAGGTTACAAACGGAGTTATTTTTTTGAGTTTGTGTTGTATTTTACTTTCATGATTACACTAGTGCCTTTGTCTTGGTTTTGTGTGGGTGCCATACCATTCAGTGTATGCAGTCATGCTTTGCTTTTCCATATAGTTAATTTGCAGCTAAAAGTTATCAGCTCAATGCAATGCTTTAAACAGCTGTTGGTGATCCTCTTGGTGGATGTCGAGTTAGTCCATATGGGTACTCAGTAATGTTGAGCAAGGTAACTAGATAGATCCTTGCTGATGAATATCTGATTTCACTTGTTGATGAATTTACTTTTCATTAGATTATCCAATTCTTTTCTGCTTTATCCATTGTCAAGCAAATGTTGTGAACTCTTCATATTTTCCCTGAAAGTCTGCAACGTAGTTATTCTGTTCTTTCAAGTACAGAAGAAAACTTATTCACATACCCGATTCTTCTTCTTCTATAGTTAATGGAGTTTGCTGGAGGCAAAATTGTTATGGCACTTGAAGGAGGTTATAACCTTGATTCTATAGCAAAATCTGTCCAAGCATGCGTTGAAGTTTTGCTGCAACAAGGGCCTACTCCAGGGTCAGTGAATGCATATCCATTTGAGTCCACATGGCGAGTAATTCGAAATGTAAGATGATTCCTGTATTGCTTGGTAAATTGCCCAGGATTTGATATTATATGACTACCTGATTTTGTGGTGCTGTATGATATACAGTATTCTACCTACTCTTCTGAGTTCTAACACTTATTGTGTATGTACACATCATAAGCAATTGATTCATTTCAATTAATGGTGCATGAATAAAATACCTTCAGGTTCGTGAAGAATTGAGTGTATTTTGGCCGGTATTAGCCAAGAAGTTAGACAACAGTGTAACCATCAAAACAACGCCTCAAATTCAGGTAAAACCTCCTTTTATCATATTGATACGGTTGAAAGTTTTTTCTTGCAACAAGATGTGGTAGGGCCTACAATTCAGAGACTCGCTATCTTATTTAGCATTAAAAAGGAAGCTTCATTTTACACTTGAGAGTATGTTGTCTTTTCATATCTTTAATAATGCAATCATACATGACAGCAAACCTATTTTTATCTTCCAAAAACAGTGCTCTCTAGATCATCTAGTTCTGATATTTTCACACTTTCCACTCCCAAATATATATTTCCTTCCCCCGCTGGGTTTTCCAAGCTTTTCTAAAGTCTGAGAAAACCTAGTGGGATGGAGGAAATACAATATTTCATCTTGCATTAACTATTAGATGTTGCACTCCTGCTCCTGCAGACCATCAGCTCAGATTCTGAAGATGAAAATGGTGGTCCTTGTGTGGTAGCAGAAGATATGGACAAGGTCATAGAGAGTGCGATCGAACCACTTTCAAGCCTTAGAATTAATGCAGAAGCCTCTGGTAAGTAGTTTTGAAACTTGAAAGAAAATGCTGTTTAGTTCTCTTAAAGAAGTTTGTGATACTCCATTACAAAATCAAGTGGAAATTGAAAATTTGTTTCAAGTGAAAGGTCTTCCTAGCTCTTCTAGGGTTTCGCGGTCTCCCTAGACTTTCTAGGGGTTTCTTGGTTTTTTTCTTCTTGTCGGTTACCCTGCTCGTCGTCATCGTCCTCATGGAGGCTGTGGATGTTGATGGTCTGAATGGGGGGGGGGTTTCTGGCCTTGGTTTGGATGATGAGACAGAGGGTCTCTCGTTTTTTCCGGAGGATGGGGTGCCACCAGTCCACCACCAACTGTAGATTTTCATCCATGGACTATTGCTGGTCGTTTTCTCACGAGTAAGGTAATAAAGTCTGATGTGATGCAGCGGGTTATGGCAGCGGCGTGGAAGCTGGATCCTGGTGTTCAAATTGTGCATGAAGATGAGGGGTTATACTTTTCCACTTCTACCACGTGAAGGTTGGGTCCTGAATCATTGAGGGTCCGTGGTCTTTCCGTAATGCGACATTGGTTTGTAAACTTCTTAACCTCGATGAGAGGGTATCGGCTACTGATCTGAATACTATAGAGATGTGGGTGCAGATCCACAATTTAACTTATTGGTATGCTACTCCAACTATTTTGGAAGCAGTTGGTAATTTTGTGGGCACTTTTGTGAAGCATGATAGTAATCCTACCCCAATATCCCAACTATCCTACTTTAGGGCTTTTGTGGCATTTGATGTGTGAAGGCCACCTGGGCTAAATATGAAACTCACAAAAAGAGATGGCTTGGTGGTGGTATGGGTTCAGTTCATGCATGAATACTCAAACAGTTTTTGCTTCTTTTATGGCATCATGGGACACCTTGCGAAGCACTGTAGAGAGGCAGTGCTATCTTCTTTGATACCAGATGATTCCCCGCTCGATGCTTCTTTAACGGCGGGTGGTAAGGAGACTGGTTTAGGTTTACCTTGGCTTTGATTTCTTGACCCTTGGGTTGAGAGTTGAGACAGAATATCAAGCTGGAAATTCATCATCTCTCCAGAGGGAGGAGCGCGAGGAGGATATGGGTCTAGAGGTTGTGGCAAAAAGGAAACGGGGAAGTGACGGGGTTTCAATGTTGGCAACAGAGATGGACACTACTACATCAGCTGGGTCAAAAAACTTGCAAGTGCCCGCCGAGACCAATGAGTATAATAAGTTGGAACTGGTGTGGGTTAGGCAACCGATGGACAGTTTAGGAAATGGCAGACTTTGCATCGGCCAAGAGGCCCAAATTTATTTTGTTTATGAAAACAAAAGGTGCGAGGATTAAGGCGGAGGAGTTGGAGGCAAAGCTTGGGTTTGAGGGCCTCTTTATTGTTGATACTGTGGGTATGAGTTTGGGCCTGGCGCTGTTATGGAGGGAGAATTGTACTGCTAATCTCATTAGTTACTCTAGATTTCATGTCGATTATGTCGTGTTGCCGCGGAATATTGTGCCGTGGTGGTTTACTGGCTTCTACGGCCATCCGTGGAGGGCCCGGCGATGCGAGTTGTGGACGTTACTTCGGTCTCCTAAAAATAAGTCGTCCCTACCATGGGTTGTTATGGGAAATTTTATTGACTTGTGTTTGGCCAGGGAGAAGAAAGCGGGTTGTCCTCACCTAGTTAACCTCCTTATAGGTTTTAATCAAGCTCTTGAGGATTGTGGCCTTGTTGACCTGGGGATGCTTGGCTATCCCTTTACGTGGGAGAGAGGTCATGGAACTCATGCTTGGGATGAGGGACGCCTTGATATAGGCTTCTGGTGCTCGCAAGGAACTGTTTAGCCATGCTTGTGGTATGAACCACCCAATGCAAACGTCCGATCGTGTGGGTAATGGTCAGGATGCTCTGGTTTGACACTGGCCATGGTTAAACAACCCACATAACCCATTCATTTCAACAGAGAGACCACCCTTTATGCCCAACTTGCCAGTCAGATTCCTTATTGAGCCTTACTCGGATAGGTGGAATAAGGCGCTCTTGCAGGCAGCAGATCCTGTCTCTACCTTTGAACCACTTTTGTTCTGATGATTGGTATTGGGAAGGACGAACTCAAGGTGCCTACTCGGTCAAGGAAGGGTACCGTCATTTGATTGGGGAAGTCGCTGAAGTTCCGGGTTTTTTTAAATGGCGTCAGCTCTGGCGTGTACCAGTTTCAACGAAGATGAAAGCCTGTCTGGGGAGGGTGTTGCGTGAGATTCTTCCCACTATTTCTGCCCTTAACCCTAAAGGTATGGCACTTTGTTCTGTGTGGGGCTCTTGGGGAGACTATAGATCATGTTTTTGTTGAATGCTCTTTTTTGAAGTTTGTCTGGAGTCAGGTGGGATTGGATCGTAGTTCTTCGGCTGGCTCCTCGTTTTCTGGATGGATGCAGCGTTTATTTGACAGGTCCTCTTTGCCAAAGCTTTGCCTGGCAGTGACCACGGTTTGGGCGTTAGGGAAAGCACGTAATGAAGCGGCGTGGGAGTGACATGTTCCTTCTCCGTAGTCTATGGTTGGTTTGATTGCGTTTATGTGTAAGGAGTGGCATGATTGATCCTGCTGGTGGTGTTTGTAGAACCGGGTCCGGCAGTTTGGGAAAGGGCCGCCCCATCCTACCGGTGCTTTGTTGATGCTGCTCTATCCCTGGTTACTGGTGGAGGTGCCTACGGATGTGCAGTGTTTTATCCGATGGATGAGTTCTATCATCTATGTGGCTGTTAATGGGGGTACACTGTGCTCACCTGACCCTCTGATGGCAGAAGCTATAGCATGTCGGGAGGCTTTATCGTGGATCAAGACGCTTGGAGTTGGTAATGTTGATGTTTTTGTTGGTTGCCAACAGTTGGATAAAGCGGTTGTGGATAATTCTTTTTCCCTTTCATTTTGTTTTGGTTCTTTAGTTGTGGAGTGTAAGGCCTTGTTGGCTAGTTTTTGTTCCGTGTCTGTTTCTTTTGTTGGTATAGAGGCTAATGTCCTTGCTCATACTCTAGCCAGGAGAGCTGAGACTCAACGTTCCGTTTGGATTTCTACTCCCCCGGAGTTTTTTTGCCACTTGTTGCATTAATGAAGTTTTTTCCTAAAAAAAAGAAGTTTGTCATTTAATTTGTACCACATTTGCTTTGTTTATGCATTGTCTGCAGACCAAGCTATCACCGCTTCCTCCACTTGGCGATCAGAACTTCGGAAAATAGAAGTCTGGTGTGCTTCTTTTGGATCAAATATGTATTTTCCAAGATTGCGCTGCTATATTGAAGGTGGACAGGTAAATCATTTTCTTATTTTTGTCCCACCTAGAAAACTTCTGTATAACTTCAGCTCATCCAAAGTTAAATTCTAACCTTCACACATTTCCTGCTCCCCTCCCCTGAAAAAACAAAACTAAATGAGAAGCATTTTACAAATGCTATTATTGAAGCTCCTTTATATTCATCTTTCACAGTTCCACAATCTATTTACATTTTAATGCAATTTAGGTGCACTTCAGTAAGATGTTATACAGTATGGCGTGACTGAAAAGTTCTGGATAAAACACATAAAAAATGTGGCCTTGTATCAGTCAAAGTGCAAAGTTAATACCGATGGAAAATATTCATTTTTGCCTTTATCTTTACATTTGGAATTTGATGCCTGTACATTAAAATGTACGACAATTAAGAATAAATGTAGTCTCTGATGACTCTGGTTCCTTGTTTCCGACGTGGCTGGCTGACTTGGTGTCTCTATCTCCCATAGTTATGAAAGGCGAGCGCCTTGATCGCCTATGGCGTTTATGGCGCTGTGGCGAGGCTATAGCGCCTGAATTGGGCTGTGCATGGCGATGTCCTTGAGGCGAGGAATGGCGATCGCCATTTTCGATGCTAATTATGGCGTATGGCGTTCGCAATTGACGCAATTAAGTTGTGGGTCAATATTTTCAGTGTCCAGACTTCATCCAAAGGAGCAATTAAATTGGGCTTGAGCCCGTTTCTAATTAAAGATCTGCAATTACCTCTTCCCGTAACCTGATCGTTGTTCCAGGCTTCCAGTCATAACTCGATCATCTCTTCCACTCGATTCAGCTGCGAATCTGCTCCCAGTCTTCTATCACAGCAGCAGGTCACAGCTTCCAGCGGCTATTTCTCAGTCAATTTCCTCCAAGTGGTGTCGGCAGTCAACTAGGTCACTTTTCAATTCTTATTAGCTTTTTTAATTTGTGTTTTATACTTTTATTTTAAATTTTTGTATTATATTTTTAACTTTTGTATTATCGAGTATATGATAAATATGGAAAAATAATTTATGTTTTATTCTTCGAATTTAACTTAGCAACTTATTGTTTTTGTTTTCCTTTGAGATTTATATATTGTTTAAAACTTTATGATATGCCATGCACAATTTGTTTGTGTGTGTGTGTATATGCACACACACACATATATATGTGTGTGTGCATACATACTCGCTTTTTTTTGTTCGCCATTTGACCGCCCGCCACTCGCCACGCCACTCGCCACAAAAAAGGTCCTCTCGCCCGCCACTCGCCACTCGCCTTTCATAACTATGCTATCTCCTTCACTATGCAACTATACAAGACAAAAAGACCATTTTGTCATCCTTGACTCACCTCCTAAAGAGCACCATAACTTTATCTTCTTTCCTTTTTGCTTCTTTTTGCTGCATTTTTTCATCCCGCATGATCTTGTTTAATGATAAATAAGCACCCCAATTTTTCATCCTTTCCTTTTCGATTCTTTCACTGCAATTTCTCTTCATGGACAATCTTATTCTCACTGTATGTACAATGCATTTAGAATTTTAAAAATTACTCAGTAAATTTTTGTTAGAATTTTCAGCCGAATATTCTGTAACAGTCATGGCGTCCAAGATCCAAATCCTATTTCTCTGCTTTTAATGTGTGCCTGTGTGGTGCTTCAGTTGAGTAAACTTGGACAACTTTTCTGTGTCAACCTGTGCAAGATTGGGTCAGCTGTCATAGAATGCCCTTCGCAATTAAGGCTCACTGTGTTTTGAAGGCATTCCCCCATCGACTGCTTTGGAAAGAACGCCCTTTCAATCTGTTTGCTTTTGGCTACGGAGACATGTTTTTTCTTCCTTTTGCTCTGGTGAGTAAGGGAGCAACAATCAGCCCATACTCTTGTTCACTGGGTGTAGACATGTAGGAGAGAGGAGCAGCCTTGCTAGAATAAATTTATAATAGAAAATGAGGTTGCAGACTTGCAGTTATCCCTGTGAATCACTTTGGTGACAGTTTGACACGATAGGATTTAACAGTTGCAATTAACAGAGTTTGAAGTTCTTAGTTTTGTCCTTTGTGAACAATAATTGCATAACCAAATTAATTGTAACAAACAACAACATTACCCCAGTGTCTCAAAGGCTCCCGCCCAATGCGGGGAGAGGGTGGGGGTCGGATGTACGCAGCCTGACCCATATGTTTAAAACATAGAGCGGATGTTTCAAGATGATACATGATGAGTGTCAAAAATTGCATTGACCAACTGCTACTTCACTATTAAAAGAAGCGCAGACCAATTTAATTGTATGATGACTAAACTTGGGTTGTGTTTCTTTGTGCTGGTGCTGATGAGCAATTTTTAACTTATAAGCTGCTTATAAGTCAAATATTCTTTCGTAGAAGTAAAATAACTTAAATGATAGACAATTCATTTGGAAATATTCATAAATGGTGATGAATAGTTTTGTAAATAATCTTGTGAAAACGGAGAAACAAAAAAACTGGCTTAAAAATAAGTAGGTAAGACTTACTCATTTTTTCTAGCTTATAAGCCAACTTATAAGCATAGAGAAACATGTCATTAGCTGACTTATGAATTAAAAACAACTTATAAGCACAAAAAAATACCACTTTACATATGTTGTGGTATTTTTCAAAAGTACAAATTTGGGTACTTAACAGTACTCCTCCATCCCACTATTTTTGTCTCATTTTACCTTTATTTTCTGTCTCACTAATTTTGTCACTTACCATATTTTGGTATTATTTGTGTGTGATAGAACACAAGGTAGAGCCACATCCTAAAAGCTAGCTATTAAGGTGGGAGAACCCTTGGCTATATAAACCCATCACCAAGTCCCCATTTAACCGGTGTGGGACAATGAAATCAGTTCGTACCATTCTACCCCCGTAAGGCCCAACGTCCTCGTTGGTCACGGCCACGTTGGTCAAGGCTGGTTTCACAGGGCCACCACTCCGAGTTGGCTGTGATACCATTGATACAACATAAGGGTGGGAGAATCCTTGGCTATATAAACCCATCACCAAGTCCCCCATTTAACCGGTGTGGGACAATGAAATCAGTCCGTATCAGTGTGGCTCCCGTTCATTCTCCAATTTCATTTTACTTTTAACATTATTATCAACCACAAAGTTCCACTTTTTCTTAATATTCGTGCCACTACCCCATGTCCCAAAAATAGTGGGATGGTGGGAGTAGCATTTAACATGGTGTCTCTATTGTAGCATTTAACATGGTGTCTCTATGGTGTCTCAAAATGGATCTCTAAACTATCTGCGCTTCTTTAATTAATGAAGTAGCAGTTAGTCAAACACTGCAACTTTCGATGTTGAGCCGGGGGTCTCTTTGGAAACAGCCTCTCTACTTTCGAGTAGGGGCAAGGTCTGCGTACACACACCCTCCCCAGACCCTACTCTTGTGGGATTTAACTGGGTTGTTGTTGTTGTTGTTCAGCTCGAAGGAATGAAAAGACGGTATGCNGTAGCATTTAACATGGTGTCTCTATGGTGTCTCAAAATGGATCTCTAAACTATCTGCGCTTCTTTAATTAATGAAGTAGCAGTTAGTCAAACACTGCAACTTTCGATGTTGAGCCGGGGGTCTCTTTGGAAACAGCCTCTCTACTTTCGAGTAGGGGCAAGGTCTGCGTACACACACCCTCCCCAGACCCTACTCTTGTGGGATTTAACTGGGTTGTTGTTGTTGTTGTTCAGCTCGAAGGAATGAAAAGACGGTATGCTGGTTCTATGGATAAAACCCTGCCAATGGAAACCATCTGGAAGATATTCCCCCATCGACTGTTCTTTGGTCGCGATCATACACTCCCATGGGGCTATGGTGGTGTTGCTTTTCTTAATCCTGAAATCACTGAAGACAAGTCCCGCATGTGCCTCTATAGAATCACGTACCCTTTCATATCTCTTTCTTTGTTAACTGTTTTGGAAAGAAAATGAAAGTATGCCTTAATTGTTTAAAACTAATCCTCCTGCTCTTCGTTGTTGCAGGCTTGAGCAGTTCAATGATATTCTCCTTCAGGAAAATGTTTCAAGCAATGAAATGACAGATCCTTTATTTGATTTGACTGCATTAAGCTCCATTGAAGACGAAAAAACCATCTCAGTTGAAGCTGTGAAGGTACACATTCTAGTCCCCAAGACCCCAATGCACACGTATATCCCCAAAAATGGTGTGCGTTGGAGACCCCGGCGCACACCATCTTTTAATGTATTCCAAGAGTTCATAATTGCTGGGGAATAATCGTTTGGTAACTGGATTTAGAGTAAATTTCATAAATGGTGTCTAACAAGTGCTTTTCCATATTTAGTTGCCCATTTTAAGATATTCCATAAATGGTGCTCAATTTTTGAAAACTATTTCATAATCGGTCCTTCAGGGACTATATGTGGAAAAATTATTTTTGTCATATTTGGCCAAAAGGACTATTTATGGAATATTTTTCAAAAATTGAGGACCATTTATGTAATATTTTATAATTAGTGTGTAAATATGGAAAACCACCTCTAATTGGGGACCATGTATGGAATTTACTCATAGATTTATCATGATTCCTCTATCTGAATTCATCATTGATGCTGCTTGGATTTCATGCAGCCTGGGTGGTACCACAACGTTCTTTACTTGGGGAAGGAAAATGGAATCCCGATTCTAACAATGACGTAAGCATGACCTCATCACGTTCTTCCCAAACACAACCCGTCCATACGGTTCTTAGATCTTCCGTTTTTTTCTTCTTCTTCTTGTCATGCAGGTGTTCCTCGTCTGATGTTGATAGCTTCAAATCGGGGGAGTTTCCCATTTGTGCCCCTTCCAAAGGCTACACCGAAGTCCTGATCAAAGGATTGGTGGAGGGGAAGCAGTTCACAGAAGAGCAGGCTGCAGCATACATTCACTATGCTTCTACTACACCATTGTGACCTCTCACTTTGGTGATTTTGGCCTTTTTTGATGTAAATATGTGATTTTTGGACATGAAATTAGTGTATATTTCATGTTCCAAAGAAAACTGTCTTTATGATATGACGTTTTGTGCAATAATACCTATCACTGTTTTATACATTTGTCATTACCAAACTAATGATCTCTGGCCTGTTTGACGTTTTTTGGTTTAAATTTACAAACTTGGACTGCATTTTGTAAATAAAGTGTATTTATAAGTTAAATTCAATACCCCTCCGACCCAATTTAAATTGTCTATTTGAGTTTATGATGATTGATTGAAGTTAGTTTCAATTTAATTTATTTAAAAATTAAGGTAAAAATAAATAATACTCCTTCCGTCCTAGTCTTTTTGTGCACTTTCATTTTGGCTCTTAGACCAAGGAGGCTGAAATTAATAAGGAAAGTTACAAAATGCCCTTAAAAGCCAATGAATACTACTCCCTCCGTCCAAATTTAAATCGCCTGTTTTGATTTTTGAACATATTTAAGGAAAATAAAAAATAGATTTGATTTTCTGAAATTGCCATTACTTTTTAGAAGGGGTGATGATGAATGAGAAGATAATGTGAAGAAGAGTGACTTATTTTAGGGGTAGTTTATGTATTTTATTTTTAAAAGTTTACGAAAACAACTAACAGGCAACTTATTTTGGGACAGAGAAAAAAGGCAAACATGCAATTTAAAATGGGACGGAAGGAGTACTTTATTTCCTCTCAAAAGTCAAAAGAATCTGGTGAAGAACTAACATATCCAAATCCCTTAATAGAGACGATTAGCACAATGAGGACTAGATTGGAATTTACCCTTGGGATGGATTAGCAAAATTAAAATTCACATATCGATTGTTCAGTAAAAAATAGAAATCTAGAAGAACCCATTGCAGATCTATTTGCAACGACAAGAAAGAACAAGGACGATTGGGAAACAACAATGGCGGAATCTTCATTAGTCTAAGAAGCAACGAGTGTTAACAATATACTCCCTCCGTCCCGGAGTATTCGTCCAGTTTTGACTTTTGGAACTGTTCATCTAAGCACTTTGACTCATCAAATTCTCTCAATGTATAAGCCTAAATATAGTCATGTGTGATCTTGTTTGATTTGTTTTAACATATGGAGTAGATTATTAATATATAATTTCTATAATTTTTTAATATACAAATTACAAGATAAAATAGATTAAAAAAGTGCATTGGGTGGTGTGTAAAAATGAAAGTGGACAAATACTCTGGGACGGAGGTAGTATGATATGACTATATTATTTTATCAAATGAGTAACAAAAATAAGTAAAGAAACTAAACAAGATTTGACCTTGTAAATAGTAAACGGAAAATTCAAATTAAAACAGAAGAAATATCATTACGTTTATTCTGCATGCTTGGAAATATCTTATTTTTTTACTCCCTCCGTCCTATATCTTTCTTCCCGTTGCGCAAAACGAAGAAAAATCCCAAGTTTTTTCAATCTATTTTATTTAAATATTGGTATAGAATTAAAAAATAAAACATACATATTTAAAAACTACATCAAAAGTTCAACAAAACAAGCGGTGACAAGAATATTTTATTTTATCATATAGGCCATGAAAAAACACAAATAAATATAAATTCCCGTGAAGTTGGAATAGTGCTCTGGGAAGAAAGTTTTAGGACGGAGGAAGTAACATTTGTTAATTTATTTATGTATACTCTGTAAAATATGGCTTTTAAAAGTTAAAAGTGTTGCACATATGATATGGAATATATATAAAAAATCAAATAGGCAAACTAAATGAGTAAATGGGATGGAAAGTATAATTTGTAATCAATTCCTTTTATACACTTGTATTAATCCCTTTTAGACACTTGAATCACATAGTATAATAATAGTAATAATAATAATAGAAATAATAGTAATAATATTAATAATAATAATAATAGTAATAATAGTAGAAATTGTTGTAAACTCGATACTTTATTCATCATATACGGGGGTATTTATACATACACAGGAGGAGGTAAAGTCTAAGTCAATAAGAAAACACGATATTCCAAATAATAGGAGTAATATATCTGCCATATTTAACACTCCCCCTCAGATATATCATCATTCATTATACACTAACAACATTATGCTACGAGATAATGTTGGCTAGGTTCTTCAGGACCTATATTAACTGATACTGCAGGACCAGTTATGCTGCCTCATTAAAAACCTTACTAAGAAAACCCAATGGGACAAAACTTAGTTAAGGGAAAAAGAGTACAGCGTGTATAATATCTTCCCTCAAAACAAAATTAAACTCCCCCTCAAACTAATTTATCTCTTTCAGCCTGCAAAGTCCAATCTTCTTTATGAGTTGCTCGAAACTGTGTCTAGGCAGAGATTTGGTGAATAAGTCTGCCAAATTTTCGCTTGATTTAACTTGAAGAACATTGATCTC